CCTACGACATCGGATTTGGATAAATCCAAAAACCCACTCTGGAGAATATTGGGGGGGCGGCTGCCGCCCCTCGGCCCCCCTTGCCGGCGCCACTGATTGCAACTCGATGGGTTAATATAATCATCGGGTGTGAAGTGTTTCTCACACAAGACAGGGTTCGTACGGGTCCTGGAAAGTCATGGAATTTCAATATTCCAAAATCCAGGCCTGGAAATCCTGGAAAATCAAAATTACCTGTTATTGTTAAAATATTAACGAATTTCAGAAATTCCAGACTTCCAGGTCATGGATTTTGAAAAAAATACTCATGGGAAGTCATGGAATTTTAAATCGGAGAAAGTGTGCGAACCCTGACAAGACTGGATATTTGATTGGCATCCAGTCTGCCCATTTCATTTTTTAGCAGGCTGGGATTGGTCATAGGAAATCCAATAGTGCAAAGGAAAAGATGTATTTTTGGTTCACTGATGTGAACAAAAGTAAAACATTTTTGACCTTGAACACGACAAGGACCTCTATGACAGTTGTTGTCAACATGCATATATATAGAGAGAGAGACTCCTAACACAGATTGACACAGACATCAAAACAAGTTGTTTGGTCTAATATTCTTTTATTAAAACTGTAAATAGTTTTATATTGTAGCTAGCAAACTCAAAACTACATTTGTTGTGACGTTGTCATTACAGTATTTACAAAACAAATTGTTTTTATTCTATTAATATTAAACTATTCTGTTTATATTATGTCAGTTATAGACTTTATATAGTGTACAAATATATGATGTGTCATGTGTGTGTTTCATAGACTTACTTATGGAAGGAAAAGCGAATACCATCTTTTAAATCCCCACGTCTGCCTTGCACTAATACGATGAACACGATTCAGGCCGACATTCAAGCATTCTTTTCGATAAAACCCCCCAGATATTTTAATAGAATAGAAAGCCCTAGAATTTTCAGATGAAAATACTGTATTTTGGTCGAAATAACAATGAAATAACAAAATAAACAGTAGTAGCTTTTGGAATAGTTAGATATATATCACATTACTTGAGAAAAAACTCGTAAAAGACTGAAGGAATAAACAGGAAGAAACTAAAGACGAAAAGCGCGCGAAACTGCAGGCCTGCCCAATCTTGCCCGCTTGAATTGTAATTTGTAAATTGTATTAGTTGTAACAAATATTCATCCAAAACCTTCACACCAGTTAGTTCTTGCCGAAATAAAGTGATAGAACGGGATCGGAAGCTGTAGGACGACGCAAAATGCAAAAAACATGGTTTTTCCCTATGTTGTTCTATGATTTTTGCCCTGTTGAGCCGCCATCTTGGATTTTCAAAATATGCCACGCCGGTTGACCCGAGTCAGCAATCTAGGTCTTCTATATCTATGGTTATCGTTCCAGGTTATTTACAGTTCACTGCTCCTAGTATAGGTCCCCCTCAGTGAAATTTCACTGTTCCCCCTAGAGAGCCTGCTCGCAGGCCAGTGGGCGAGAGTGCCTATTAAAAATTTAATATGGCGGCCAAATTGAAATTATTTTTATTAAAAAGTTAAATGGTAATACAGGTATATCTGTACATATAGTTTATCATTGTTCATTTATCTGCACTTCATGGCTGGGATGGTGAGTTGTGTACGTGTTACTGTTTATAATACTTGTATGTTATAATATTAATGCAGGTTTTATTCTACATTTCTACTGCCATCATTGTGCCATGCAAGTCAGCAAGTGCAACCAGGGTGCATTCCATGTAAACTCTACGCCGGAGATACGCCAACATTTACGATCCTTTACGCCAATTTCTCAATCTTGGGGACTTAAATCCATGTTTTGAAAATAGCTAATATGGTGTGTTCTTAATATGTACTGCATGTCAACATCATATTGGTGTAGTATGTTATACTGTCAATTTGCATGTGGCCATGAAATCAGGCACAAACTAATCACTTGTTTTCAAGTGATCTCACACCATTACGCCAACAACATATATATAATTTGTTATCTTAAAATGTATTAATCTATCGCTACTTTAAGTTTCATGTCACTATTTGTGACAATCTTCAGGCCAACGATTAATTATGGATCAGGCCTGGCCGTTTGAGGCGCGCGCCTTGACTCCTTAAGACGCACCTTTTAACGCGCGCCTCGTTTGTTTTAAGAGTATGAAATCGCGCGTCTGGTTTTTTATTTAAACTCGCCATTTAGACTAGTTATAAAAGAATGACTGATTTATAGGGATGAGCCGATAAGGAAAATTGCCGATTACTGAGGCCGATTATTTATAAGCCGATTATTGTAACTAATCAGCCGATTATCGGTGGGTACCGATTATTTTAAAAAGGTGTGGTATAATCGGTGGGTACCGATTATTTTAAAAAGCAAGTGAAAAATCACAAGATGACCAACAATGAAGTTGTAAATGCAGTTTTATTGTTTACAATACACACTTTGAACAATTAAAAACAGTTTCAGTCTCTCATGTCAATAGTCAAAATTTAGTTTTGGCAGATTATGGTGTAAAAACAAGGCACTGTCAGCTACGCGGAGCTAGTCTGCTGTGTTTTTTTAGTGGAAATGTTCCCAGCTTCACTTCACTTGAGACAAAAGACACAGGTTTTGCAACAAAATGTGAAAATCTATTCGCTTGTATTCAGTATTTTAGTATGTGATTGGCAGCTGCAGAAAAAGTCTTATGGCCGATTATTTGCTGATTATCAGCCAATAATCGGCTGATTACCGATTATTTAAAAAATGGCCGATTAATCGGCTTTGCCGATTATTTATTGATTAATCGGCTCATCCCTACTGATTTATGCTGATCAAAGGAAATGATAACTGCTGGTCGGCAAAGGAGCGTAAGGAGATTCTTCAACGTGCATTAGAATTTTACATGGAGAAAAGACGCAAAGTCAAACTCGATAGCAACACCATGGATGAAGAAACTCCATTAAAAAAAGCGTATAATTGAGAAAGACATCATAACCATTGACGATAACGATGATTCGTCAAGCTCGTCGGAAATCGAGTCGTAGGACTGTGATGTTGACATTTTCATTGATGTTTAAAGTACGATGACTTTGAAAACATTGTAAATACACATACTCACTGGTACAAACATTTTATATAGTACCTATACTAATTTTCGTCTAAACTCAGTTTTGTGAATGTTATTCTAATCTGTGTAAGCGTAATTTTTACCGGTTTTTAAATCGCACGTCTGACGTTAATATGGCGCGCGATATGCAGCGCGCCTGCCCAAATACTTACGGCCAGGCCTGATGGATGGATTATGGCCTGAAGATTGTTGCAAATAGTGACATGAAACTTAAAGTAGCAATAGATTAATACATTTTAAGATAACAAATTAATTTGCTCTGCTAAATATTTGTAGTATTGAGCACTCTTTTACCTATAACGAAAAACAAAACTGTATATACCACATTTATGCTCTTGTATTAAACCCCATTCCAAAGGTAATGATCAAGACTAATGAAAATGCCAGTAAGTTATATGAACACTAGTAGTTGCAGAACTTGCATGACAATTATTTTATTTATTTATTTATTTTTTCCCCCTATGTATGTACAGCTTTGTTAATATTTACAAATATTTTCTAATATTTAATATTATTGGGCTAGGGACCTACTAGAAACTCTAACAAGCTTTTTAATTTAGGCCCCTAGTTATAGTTCATTGTTATCTATTAATTAATATATAATTAATTAATTTTACAGTAAAATCAGAAAAACAATTATCTTAGAGTGTATTGTTTACAAAAGGAAGGAAAGAACTATAAAGCAAAATAATTACAGTACAAATATACGTCATATATAAAGGCATATTGACACTAGTATTTATCACTATATAATATTTATTTATTTTATTTATTTATTATTCACCCAAATCACATCAAAATTAACAATTAAGATAGAAAATATTTACAAATAGTAGAGCTAGGAACCTTCTAGAAACCAAAAGGCTTTTGTTTACGGTCCCTGTAGTCACAATTTAAATTAATATAATATTAAAGTTAGTAGTTCAATTGTTTTCGAAGTAATTATGACAATATATATACAATAAGGAGATTGTATAAAGATATAATAGATTAAAGTATAACAATTACTTGTCCTTCTATGTGGCATGATGAATTCTAAGTAGAATTCATCATGCCACATAGTACTTATGAATTCTAATTACAAATTCTAATTTGACTGAAGAAGATATTTTTTCATTGTTAATTTAATTTGCTTATATTGCGCTGGAAGATTATTCCAAACATGTAAGTAGAATGAAAAAATAATATGTAAGTAGAATGCATAATTTGGAATTTGAATCCTATTTCTAATTCAGTAAATAATGCTGTTTAACTTGTTTTTTGAAAGCAGTGCAAGAGTTTATATCTTTGATATTTGATTCTAGTAAGTTCCATACATCAGCACCGTTGTTAGAAAGAGTATGCTTTGCATAGTTTGTTCTTTTATATTGCTTGTAAAGTTTGGATGCGTTTCTCGTGTTATGCTGATGAATTTGATTACTACTCACAAAAAAATTATCAAATTCTTCAGGTAGATTTTTAAGATGGTGATATCGAAACATAAACATGGCCAGTGGCGGAAATCTTAGTGGGGCGCCCCCCACCTTGAGAAATTTTGGAAGTTTTATTTATTTATTTATTTATTTATTTATTAACTTTACAACCATACATAAAATAGACTAAAACACTACATAATATGGTTGAAGGTATGGTCAACAGGACATGAATAGCCCCATATGAAGACCAACCTTAATGAAAACAAACTATAACAAACATAAATCAAAGACGATAACAAATATAAAATTTACAGAAAACATGACGAATTACGAACAACAGCTTAAGTTGAAAGAGCGGCACTTAGAACAGAAGGTTTTCCAAGTGCGCATTCTGTTTACATAGAAAGATGAATGAAGTAGAGAAGAGTAATGAACAGTTAGTCTGTTTTTAAAGGAGGAAACGGATGAACTATTACGAATGGTGGGAGAGAGATTATTCCAGAGAAAGACAATTCGGTTGAAAAAAGAGTTCCTAAAGAGAGAAGTCCTACAATGATTGACACGAAGCAAGTTGTCCGAACTTGAACGGGTGTGAGACGAGCTGTTTGAAGAAAAAGTGACGAAAGAGGAGATATCTAGGTCGAAGAGACCGTGCTTACATTTAAAAAAGAAGACGAGATCCTTTAGTTCTATCCAGTAGGATATTGGTAATAAATTAAGCTTTTTAAGGCGTTCAGGATATGGCAACTCATAATCCTGAAGGATAAATTTACTAGCTCGTCTTTGAACACCCTCGATGATCGCAAGATCACGTGACGATCCTTGAGGTGCCCAGATCTCACTACCATATGACAGATGAGATCGGACGAGAGCTAGATAAAGAAGCCTACGGCTGCGAATATCAGACATTTGCGTACAATTCCTACGAAGAAAACCAAGCATACGATTGGCTTTTGCAGTGCAGCTGGCGATGTGAGGGGACCACTTTAGGTCATTGCTGATAACAACACCCAAGTCTACTTGGTTAGCTATGCTCTTAACCGGATCGTTGTTAAGAAAGTAGCAATGAGTTGGAGGGTTACGTTTGCGAGATATCCTAAGCAGGAGCGTCTTCGAGACATTAAATTTCATTTTCCAGTTAAGTGACCAGTTGGACATAGCGTCCAGGTCAAGCTGAAGGAGACCACGATGAACTGGTGATCGTATAGCACGATAACACTTGCTGTCATAACACTTGCTGAACATGGCAGTTAAATAGTCATTAATTTTGACCTAAAAGAGGGCTAAAAACAGTCTTTTTGAGTGCAAATGGGGGGGGGGGGGTTGTCGGAAATTTGAAAATTTTGCCGGAAATTTTGGGGCTTTGCCCCCCCCCCCCCCACCGGAGAAAGTGAATTTCCGCCACTGAACATGGCAGTCAAATAGTCATTAATTTTAAAGATATCTAAGATGTTTAATTCTTTAAAAATCGGCTCAGTGTGCCATATATACGACTTAAACGTCATCAACCGTCAGGCCTTAAAATATCGGTCGGTCACGAACATTGTCCGACCCATTCCATTCGTGAAATTGTCCGACGTAGAGAGGAAGCCACCGGACATTCTGTCCGACATAAGTGAAACTGGGGTTTACTGTTTGTCCCACCCGAGTGTATTAGTGTCCGACCGAACTGTAGCTTTGTCCAACGTAAATCAATCCGCAGTAAGGCTCGCATGGTAAATGCGGGACAATTGAGTATTGTATAAAAAGTAAACTGCATGGAAATGTTGTTTTAACGTAGGCTGATCGAGCGCGGGGCGGCGACGTGCTAGCGAAATGGTGAAGTGGAAAACGGGCTTAAATTGTCGAAGTCGTACTGCTGTAATTGGCAAGCAAGTTAATTTTGGCTTGGAAATAAGTATGAATGACTCAAATTATTTAATATCTTCACAGCATTTACCGTTTAGAATTAATAGTTTAATACATTGTGCTGATATTCATTTGTGTCATTTAGACTTATTCCCGAGTCAAAATTGAACTGAAGGTCATCGGACATATGTCCGACCCAAACTCAACGTCATCGGACATTTTGTCAGACGGCCCTGTAAAAGATATTTTAAGGCCTGTCAACCGTACAATTTTTTTTTGAATATTCATTATTTTTTGAATCCGAGTTTTGTAGGTGTTACCCCAAATTAAGTTTCCGTAAATAAGGTATGGATAGACCAACGCATACTGTAGTATATCAGCTTAATTCCATTTCTATTTACGAAATGACACATTTTTGATATTATGCCAGAGGCTCTAATAATTTTCCTTGCTACTTTAGCTATATGATTATTCCAGGTCAAACATTCATCAATAATTATACCAAGAAAGTTTGTACTTTTAACTTGTTCCATATTTTTATCATTTATGGCAATTTTAACGTCATATTTTTGTTTTTTATTGGAAGATCTGAACAGAATAAATTTAGTTTTTTTAGGGATAATTTATTAACATTCAGCCATTCGGCTACTTTATTCATTTCTGTTTGCATAATTTCATTAATTGTTTTAATAAATTTGATAATGATAATGATAATAATATTTTATTGAGGGAATTCATTCATCCCAAGATGCTTTTCAATGAAGCCCTCACCACAAATACAATATTATACATATATGAATATCTGTAAGAAAACTATCCTAAGTTATAATACTATTAAAAAAAGTTAAAAATATGCTAAACTTAAATGGTAAAATGTTAAGAGAGAAGTTTTCTTTTAAAAATATTAAAATTAGCTATATTCTTAATGTCATTATCTAAGTCATTCCAATCCTTCGCTGCCTGATATATAAAGCGTTGTTTTCCCCATTCTGTTTTAACTTTTGGAAGATAAAGGTTGGCACTCCGACGAGTGGAGTAACTATGGCGGTTGCAGTTCTGAATCAGTATTAATTCTGTGTCCATAGTGCCATGAAGGCACTTATGAATTGCAATGCAACGATGTTGTTGACGTCTTGTATTTAGTTCTACCCAATTTAATTTCTGAAGGGCATCAGTAGCCGAGTGTGTGGGTGGTAATCCCAGTATGACCTTTGCGGCCTAGTTTTGCAAAATTTGTATAAATCATCCATCAGAACTTTGTTGTTTTTATCCCCCCAAACCAATGTTACTATAAAATATATTAGTATCATCTGTAAATAATACAAATGAAAGTAGTTTACTGCAATTTTCAATGTCATTCATATATAGTAAAAATAGAATAGGTCCACGAATTGATCCTTGTGGGACTCCAGTTTGAATTAACATTTCTTTTGACCTAACTTGATTATATTTGACAATTTGCTTTCTGTTGGTCAAATAGTTTTGAAACCATAGTTGAGTTACTCCCCGTATACCATAGTGTTCTAGTTTTTGTATCAGAATCCTGTGATTAATTGTATCAAATGCCTTTGATAAGTCTAGGAATATACCAATTATGAATTCTCCATTATCTATTGCTTTAGTAAGTTTGTTGGTAAGTTCAATTATTGCAAGTTCGGTGGATCTATTCTCTCTGAAACCATATTGATGGTGCGTCAACATTCTATTTTTTTCGATAAATTTAATTAATCTCTTATACATGAGTTTTTCTAATAATTTTGAAAAAACAAGTGAGAACAGATATGGGTCGATAATTTTTAAATTCATTGTTTTCGTTTGCTTTGAAAACTGGTGTGATTAATGCTGTATAAAAGTTAAATTGAAAATATATGAAAGAGGTTCCGAAATTACATTAGTAACATTCCTGATAACTTTTACACTTAAGCCATCGTACTCAGGACTCTTTGGGATTTAAGTTTCTGATTTTAGTCTCTAATTCGTATTTAGTTATGGGCTGGAGAAAAAAGCTATCTTTATAACTACCAGTTAGATATTGATTATAAGTTCTGTCACTTTTTTGGAGTTTTTTGGCTACGTTTGATCCAACATTCACAAAATATTCATTGAACTTGTTTGCTAATGTTTGTGGATCACTAATCTTTCCTTCTGAATTAATTGCAGTAAATTCATTCGGTAAACTTCTATTTTTCTCATGTTTGTTCATAATTTAGTTTAATGTTTTCCATAGCATTTCTGTATCGTATTCGTATTTTATTAGTTGTTCTTCGTAGTATTTCTTTTTTGCTGCTTTTATTACGTGGTTAAGCTTATTTTTGTATTGTTTGTATTTGTTTTCATTCTTTATTGTAGGATGATTTAAGTATTTTTTATATAGCTTGTTTTTCTTCGTGATAGACTTGGCAATGCAATTTGTTATCCATGGACTTTTGTTTTTGTCAATATTTTTTTACCTTCTTTTTTGTCAGTGGAAAACTTCTTTCATAGACAGTTGAAAATATGTCAAAGAATCTATTATAGGACTCAGTTTTGTCATTGCTTGAAAGAACATTTTCCCATGACGTACTTTTGATTGTGTCAGTGAATGTTTTAATATTGGAATCATTGATATTTCTTTTAAATGTATACTCTTTTGCTGGCCTGATCTTTTGATTAGACTTTAAATTAGATCTCATGTATACACACATAATTTAGTGGTGCACATCATGTGCAAATAGACAAGCATGTCGATTTCCATGTGCAAAGCTATTCTTGGACGTTAAATCTCTGGTCTTGTTTGCCATAATTCTCATTTAACTTGCACCAAAATGGCAGAACTCCTATCATGTCGCAGTGCTATTTACTGTACAGTAGGTCATATTAGTTTTAGTGGTTGCATCATAGCACTATTTCAAGCAATTTCCAAAAAACATTTTGATGTGCACATGCAATGAATACGAAAACAAAATTGTGTGTGCACTCGCTATGTGAGCTGGAAACTGGAGTGTTTGTATAATTTTGCATTTTTTGCATATGAATTGATTTATTTCACAAGGTGCCTACAACCGATCTCGTTTGCTGCGTCCCGATATCGTTCACTTTCATTAAGCATGTCTTGGAACTGAAATATTTTTATGGGAACTAACACTTTCAAGCACGCGGAGTTCGAATCCGAAAACTTCCCGCGCCGTAGACCCACAGTTTTCTCACAAAATGCTATTTTATCTTCGCTAATTTCACAACAAATGTTTTCATTGTTCAACGACACGGATCGATGACGCCACACGATTATATCACTCAAAACAACCAATTTCTATTAAGCAGTCTTCCTTTTAACAAAAGACCGGTTTTGCTCAAATTATTTTGAATTATGTAATTTTATGCGTGTTGCACGTAAACAACATATCTTGTCTACAACTTTGAGAAGGTACAGATAACGCCTTCTAAAATCCTCAGTTCCAGCGATATCTCTGTAAAATCAGACGTTAATGCTAAGTCTTTTGGCTATATCACTGACCTGAAAAATAACTAATTTAACACGATCAACTAGGTATTTAAAACAAAAGTAATGCGAAGCCAACGTAACGGCAAAGACAACGCTAAAATGAAATATTGTCGATTGGTTGCTAGTAGAAGACTTGAATGAATCTTAAGGATGAATCTTAAATAACCTTAAACTAGAAGAATAAATGTTCACATCAAAGACAAAGATCAGTGCCCATGCAGGTATAAAATCTGCTCTGTAAACGTACGACGAAGTGGAGAAATGTATGCATAAGCTGTTTATTTGGTGATTTCAACGTACAGTATATGGCAGCCCTGTTTCCAATAATATTCGCTTATCGCACAGAATAACACCAACTGATATAATAGTTCAAATGCAATGATAAGTTACATCTTGAACTGCATCTCAAAAACTGTGTTGGGAATGGAAATGCTGACCCATTCGATAAGATTACCGTTTTACATCGCTGTATAAAACATTTTGATCGCATGTAAGGATCATCATTTCTCATCCCAGAGATATAGCCAACGACTTAACATTGACGTCCTTGTGATTTTATAGAGATACAGCCTTGAGAACTGAGGATTTTACAAAGCGATATCGGTACCTTCCCAAAGTTATGATATGTTGTTTACGTCCAACACGCTTAAAATTACATAATTCAAAATAATTCGAGAAAAACCGGTCTTTTGTTCAATGTAGAGACTGGTTCATAGGAATTAGTTATTTTGAGTTATGCAATCGTGTGTCTTCATCCATCCGTGTCGTTGAACAATGAAAAAATTTGTTGTGAAATTAGCGAAGATAAAATAGCAGTTTGTGAGAAAACAGTGGGTCTACGGTGCGGGAAGTTTTCAGATTTGAACTCAGCGTGTTCGAAAGTGTTAGTTCCCATAAAAATATTTCAGTTCCAAGACATGCTTAATGAAAATCGTTTTCTAGGCACTTTTCGAGATCACAGCAAACGGCCTACAACAGTTCCATGCATGTTGTGTTGAATATGATACAGTACTGCTCAGAAATAACCTAACAATGCGTTCGCATTCCATTTGCCATGCACTTGGAAACGCGTTCCCCACTTTGGTTAAAAACCGCATTCTCGCATCGGAAAATCCCGACACCGAATGAAATGTGAGTTACTGTAGGCTACTTTTCAGCCGGCGATTTGACCATATACACACAGGCTGAAAATAGCTCTGACTAAAACTCTGCCAGCTTAAACTGCTGATGAATATTCCTGCCCATGGCCTCATGTAAATTGTGATCAACTTCGCTGAAACACATATCTTACAGCAACTTGCTATTATAATAGTTTTATTTCAAATTGTCGGCTGGTATTGTTTTTTGCACAACTATCAGGAGTGCACATTCAAAAAAAATTTGGGGGTGTCCTACGTTCTAGGACTGTAAATATTTTATATATTTGTAAATAGGTATTATTGTCGAGCACTTCTATCATGAGCCCCTGGCTCGAGTGATTGGTGTCTGTGTCATTCGACATTTTATATTATTAAACTATTCTATTCTCTATTCTATTTTTGTTTGATACGAATTATTAAGGTAATTCCGCAGTTTTGCATTGCACACTTTTACTGCGCACATCTTATAACTTATAATTTCATCCATTATACGTACCGTTTAAAAATAATCATTTTATGACAATTTTATGTTACTTCAAAACATCTTTGGTTACATTCGTGCAAAGAATTACGTTAAAATCAATATTTTCAAAAAGGCATACAAAAGTGTAGCTAGGGTTCCCTGTGTCTGTAGTATATTTATTTACTTGTATTTCACGTTTTAATGCCACAATTCCCTAAAAAGATCGGTGACCCCCGTTTTTAACTGATAATTTATTTCTTTAATGCATTTTACATTTCATATCCGAAATTAAAAGAAAAATCATTTCTGGATCTTGAAAAAAAATCCTTTATCAATGCATGTTCTCAAAGAAAGATATGTAAGGAAATGTGGAAAAGACATTTGTGTATCAGAATTGTACACGTAGTAGTTTCAGTTTGCTCAAAACACAATATTTTGTCAAAAATAATTACAAGATAGGTTTACTAAAGCAAAATCCGCGCTAAAAACGTCAATAAATATCGGGCTGTTGTGATTTTGCTGTTACTCGTAATGAACGTCAAGATGGTGCCATATTGGGGTAAAGGTGGTATATTGTGATTGTCATATCTTCTTAACGAGTTCGATGACCCCTACCCTGGTTCCAGAGGTTTATTTTTATTATTTTCATTGCGGAGGGGAGAGGAAAAATAAACCTCTGGTTGAAAGCGACAATTGATTCATCGAGCCGCGCCAATCAGTTTGAATTAGGGTCAGATCCTGACTCTGTCTCCTGATTGGATGATTGTATTAAAGCTCTCTGATTGATTCAAATATAACATCTATAACCAATCAGTGAGCTTTAATACAATCATCCAATCAGGAGACAGAGTCAGGATCTGACCCTAATTCAAATTGATTGGCGCGGCTCGATGAATCAATTGCCGCTTTCAACCAGAGGTTTATTTTAAACCTCTGGAACCAGGGTAGATGACCCCGACTTTTTTGTGTGATTTTACTTTAAGTATATCATAAACTCCATGCCTGGGAAGTTTCAGCACATTCTCATTTCGGGAACAATTACTGCGGAATTACCTTAAGGCGTAAATTGTGGATAGACTCGTAGACGGGGATAGTATTCCAACAGTTTAAGTAAACGTTCAGTTTTTCAGAACTTCTGCTGTGGTCTAGACTTTCGGGGGTCCGAAATTTTTATGGATTTCGAATGTGAGCGAGCGCCAAAGGCACGAGGAAAATTTTGAATTTCTAGATTCATCAGAACGCTATATATGTCACGTATTTTAGGACGAGGTTTGAAGAAAAGTTACAACCACAAAAAGGCATTTTTTAGGTCGCCTAATTTTGTTAGATCGAAAAAATATTTATGTAAAACATTGTACTGTACACGCAAATACAACAGCAAGAGATTATTAAAAAAAGTCATCAACTTTAGGGGTTAGGGTTAGGGTTAAGGTTAGGATTATGGTTAGGATTAGGGTTAGGATAAGGATTAACGTTTGGATTAGGATTATTGTAATTGTAGACCATTATAACCCAATACTTTATTGCATGCATACAATGGCATTACAACGCCAATAGATTATTGGTTACAACGTGCGGAACGGCTGGCGAATTACCTCTTTCGTAAGCGAATTCAGTAGAATGTCATTTGCCAAGTATATGTCTTGGGTCGATTCTATAAGTGCATGCTTGTAATATGCATTTGTTCCCTGATATTTATATAGCCCTGTGGTAATTTCAGGGAGCTAGCTCCCTTTCAAATCTTCTCCAAAATTAGAAAACAATTAGTCACAGAACACAAAATATATTTTAATACTAATAATAATGTTAACAAATATAAATAATTTCTTTGTGTATATATAATTGCAATTTGAAAGGAGCAAATAAATCTTGTCTTGATCTCAACTTATCTATTCTGATGATGAATTATCCAAAATAGTGAAAACAGTTTGCTGCCTAAAACTATATGACCCCAATGGCAATGAGTACGATGATGTTTTCCTTACTGGTGCACCGAGCCATATAAAAACGATACTATATGCAGACAAAACGCGCATACCCACCGACTAATAAATAATAAACAATCGCCCGCATACGATTGTTGAGTTAAGATAGAAAATGCTCCGCAAAACGTAAAAGTTATACAAGGTTTTTCACATTTTTTCCACTAGAAAACTGAACTCGCACTTTTGAAAGACTTTAAGAGTATTGTCTAAAATTATGGAGCACTGTGATATTTTTGACCACCCTTGTCCTTGATCCTCATCAGAAACAAATTTAGAAGCATATATATTGAATACGAGCAATAATTCGCGTGTTGTTTTGAAACATTTATATTATACTCGTAAAGACAGTGGAACCTGCACGCTACGTGTACCTGAAAGATATCGTATAAAGACAGTGGAACCCACGCGCTACATACTGTATACCCTAAAGATATGTAATGGAAAATATAGTTTTCGCCTGTCCACGAATAGCGAGACAGGAAACGACTTCTCGAGGTTTTAGAGGATCCCCTCTTGATCAAGTGGTTCTTTATTTTTGTCTGTTTCATTCGGCTTGATCGTAAAGAAATTATTCTTTTTCTCGCATATTCCGAAAATTTCCCTATAGCCCTCCGGGCATGTGAACACAAAAAGTGACGCCAATTAATACTTGAGAAGTCGCGATAAATTTCGACGATGGCCAGTTTCATTATGAGTGTAACCGGAATGCGTTCCACACAGTGGTTGACCAAGTTTTGCACACATTTTTACCACTAATCAGTACTTCTTTTACCAAACTTTTTGGCGAGCCTGGGGTGGAGGGAGGGGGGGGGGGAGGAGGTGGCGAGGAGGCCAATAAAATATTTTCCGAACATTACATTCTCATTTTCTTTCTGTTTAAGCTGGTTTAAGTTACAGTTATTCACTCTTATTTGGTTAACTTTTCCTTATTTTTTCCTTATTTTTTTCCTTAATTTTCCCAAAGCAAAACAAGGAAGGTTGTATGCAAAGTATGTTGCTCAATATGTACTGTAATTTGGTGTTCATCGAACACCAGTACATATTGAGCAACATATCCACTTTTATCTTTTTTAATTTCGTTTAAAAAGTGACCAATCATTTTGATAAAATATTTTTCCATTTTTGACCAACTTTTCGAGCTTTTTTAAGTGTGGTGATACTGCGACAAAACACTCAAAATTGCATTGTTGTCAATGTGGTGACCAAAAATGTCACAGTGTGCGGTGATCGATTGACGTGTGTTTTATCTTGTGCTTGAAATACTTCTATAGGAGGTGGACACACTTGTTGCTACTTTGATGTCCTTGGGTTTTGATTTTGACGGATGTCAGCAAGCCATTGCAGAAGGAAATTCAACTGTAGAAGCTGCTGTGGAATGGCAAGTCTCATTCATCTTTCGCATTATATAAAAGACAGATTCGTGGACATTGTTTTAAGAATGCAGTATGAATAGAATTATCTTGATGTGAAAGTTGATTTCTACTATTTAGTAAAACACGAGCAGGAGTAAAGACGACATACGACCCTTATGAGTTCATTGGCAAAGTAATTTTAAAAATCAACAATGTAAATTAAGAGGCAATTTTTTTCAATGTCACGTATTGGCGATGAAAAGTGTTCAAAACCTAAAATCTTTTTGGCGTTCCTCTCAAAATTACTTTGTTTTAGCTTTATTCTCTAGTTTATAGAGTTAGCTACCTTTTTAAATGCATCTGCCGGTTGAGACACATAAAATAATAGTTAGAAATTGTCAATTAAAATACAATTATCAATGATCAATTGACGCCATATATTTACAGGCATAAAAGCAAAACTTACTGAACTTCAGACATCATTTTCTCTTTGGCGTATCATCTAAAATATCTTCATTTTGGCATTATTTTACAGATAAAGCAGTAATCATACTTTTTAAGTTTGTTTGCCGATTGAGAAACGTATCGAAAAATAAAAATTTTGAATTTAGTCATAACCTCAAGCGATATATTATACGCATTACGCCATTAGTTTTGAGCGCGTGTTACGTAACATACAAAAAAATCTCCTCTTAATAACATATTAACCTGATCGCGTATATAACACCACGGAAACGGTAGTGATTTCCTTTATCTTTTCCTCATGAATTATGAATGCGTAAGTTATTGGGTGCAGGTTACAGAACTGCATTGTTTGGAGTTGAAATATTTTCACATGTTTAGCATATCGTTCATTTTTACATTCAAATTGAAAGACTGGGGAAAGGATGTTTTTCAGTAGTGATGTTTTAAAGATTCCTTCCAGATGGGAAATCACAGTAAATGTTGTAAATTTCATTGCCACTACATTTACATATATTAAAGGATACCGAATGGTTTTCGTGCAGGGATGTCGCGAGACTTTCGGAAAGTGTAAAAATACTCGAGCCACAGGCGAGTGTATTTTTACGCTTTCCGAAAGTCGAGCAACATCCCAAGTGCATGAATCACGCAATCCTGCTTGGAAAACCATTTGGTAATTGTTTTATAAAATAGCTACAGTGAAACAATGACATTTTGAGAATCCCGCGAAAATCCCGCGAAGGCATTTTAACTCGTCGTGCAGGATAGCCTGATCCTGCACGGCTATTGACCAATCAAATTGCATGTTTCACTGTAGTTATTATATAATACGTTTTACATGTACATGTATTATATTTTTATATATTTTTCATTAGGTTGCTTAATAGAGGCAACAGTAAATCCAAGACTGTAGACAAAACCCAAGATGTTAAATCAACAAAGAATAATGAACCATGTCACTCATCATCAACTATTGAAGATAAAGTAAGCAACAAAGAGATTCCTTAAGAAAATCCGGTATAAAATGCCGACGCGCGAACGAGATCCAAAGTGTGATGGGTAAACACCCAACACGAAAGAGTTACGTAACAAAACTAAATTCGTTGACAGAGAAAACTCAGGGAAGACGAACCCTTTTGCTCCACCATACTGTAGTTACAGTGTCGTGCTGGCTCCTCTTCGTCCGGGGAACCCACTTCGCCCATCGATCTAAATTTCCCAAAAAAATATGTGTCGGGAGTGCAAACAATTTTCGAACCAGTATTGAATAACAGTTAAATACGCGTCGCCCTTTCCTGTACACATTTCGGTGATTTTTAAGTAGAATTTATAATTTACCATTTTTGTTTCATTTCATGCAGATTTGGCGCCACCTGAAAGCTTTTGCACCCCGCATTTGTCTGTTCAGTAAGTTGATGCAGTTATTTAAAGGGGCAGTACGATCAAAATTTATTTTCTTAAATGAAAGTGCTCGTAAAACTATATAGTAACTTGTTTTGAAGATTTTTGTTCCCATGCTTAGTTCTTGAGATATTTCTTTTGTTTGTAACCATGTGATGTCATTTACTCAATTACATATATAATGAGATATCAGTAATTGTTGTGTATCTTTGCTATTTTTATCAAAATATTTCGAAAAATGCGGCGCGTTTGTTAATTTAACCTACGTATCATTAAGCATATACTGTGTTTTTTAACAAATCGATCAAAAATAGTAAAGATACACAACAATTACTGATATCTCATTATATATGTAATTGAGTAAATAACGTCACATGGTTACAAACAAAATGAAATATCTCAAGAACTAAGCATGGGAACAAAAATCTTCAAAACAAGTTATTGTACAGTTTTACGAGCATTTTCGTTTAAACTTTGGTTTAAGAGAATAAAAATTTTGATCATATTGCCCCTTTAAATGATGCGTCAACTGCAGAAATTGTTCCCTTGTTAGAAAATGAAAAAAATACTGCGTGCGTGCGTCAAGTTTGGACAGACAAACTGACCAGAAGCAGAATACTATTTTCCTCCTCATAGCCAATATAGAACGTTATTCAATTCTTAATAAATACAGTGACTAAAAAGGAATAACATGCAACCTTTCTATTCACAGAGTGATGAACATGTGGTAAGTCGATATGTGACTGATGAATCTCAGAAGAAAGCTCAGGATGAATTTGAACAAAAAAAACGAGATAATATTCAACGTGAAGCTAAGAAACGACGGCTTATTGATAAGCAGGTATGCATTGTTTAAAACCAACGTGGAAAAATTTATTCAACGTGGATAAAGCCAACGTGGAAAAATTTATTTAACGTACTGTTTTTGCTTGGTACTGCCTATAGACTGCGTAGCTGGTAATTTTAAGGGGGTTCGGGAGTTTTGATTAAAAACATCCGCTATCTATCTCAGGAAGGCGAAAATTTCGCAAGCCAAGATTCAAGAAGACCTTGATGTGAATTGAAGATTTGTTAATACTTGTTAGCGCTATAACGCTAAACCAAATGTTAGACGCGTTGAAAAATGATAGACTATATAAATTTCGAGACGTTTTTTAAATTAAATGTTTTTAAGGCTTATAGACCTTTCCCCTTATAAGTGAAATTTTGATCTAGATATGCCTGGACAAAAATTTCATCACAGCTTGAAAGAGCATCACAAAATTAGTAATATTCCGAAGTTTCGTTCCGAAATGTTGTAAAATGCGGATAATATAGCCTTGCGAAGTTTGCCGTTTTTCAGTCATTTTGCATTACAAACGGGAAATTGATAATCAGATGATCAAACTGATTATCAATTTCCATTTGTAATGCAAAATGACTGAAAAACGGCAAACTTCGCAAGGCTATATTATCCGCATTTTACAACATTTCGCAACGAAACATTTCGAAACAAACTAATTTTGTGATGCTCTTTCAAGCTGTGATGAACTTTTTGTCCAGACTTGTCTAGATCAAAATTTCACTCAAAAGGGGAAAGGTCTATTCTCGTCACATTTCTAGGTTCGTCAAGAAATTTTACAACAAATCAAAGAAGATAGAGACATTGCCAACAGTCGAAGACCAAGAGGAAAACAAGAGAAGCAATCTGTTCTGGAACCTGATGTCACCACAACATCGCACGCAGGCACTTCATCAGATTTTACAAAGAATATATGTAGATTAAAGGTAATTAAGGCGATGGAGATCCGGGCTGCGTATTGAAAGCTTGCCAAATAAATAAACTTGGTGTTTTTCACGAAACCAAACAACAGACAAAGTTGGCTAACGTTTTTTTACAAATACCCAATAGACCTTATGCATAATGACGTCACAAGGCTTGATGTCCGCGAGGAATGCTGGTCTTAGTAGTCATCGCCCGGGAAAATTAAACAATTCAAAATGGCCACTATCGAAAATTTCCCGGGCGATGACTACTAAGACCAGCATTCCTCGCGGGCATCAAGCCTTGTGACGTCAATATGCATAAGGTCTATTCACATCCGTTTAGATAACTCACATGCATGCATACTGCATAGTTACTATTGTTCTAGTTTACAGAAACATGAAATAGAACAAACTGGGTGACTAAGTTGTAGAATTATCTATATGAGCGAATATTCTTATTCATTAATTCTAATGCTTACAGTAGTTTTCTTTGTTGTATTCTATGCTTCTCTAAACTAGAAGAATGGTATCTAGGCATGTCAGTTATCTAAAGTTGTCAATTAGCCTTTTTCACGAAGGCCAAATTCGCCATTTTTGGGGTACATTTTTGTGAAAACAACGTGAAGAATCTAAGCGATGGGAAAACATTTTTTCAAATATTTAACTGCAAATCAAATTATACTCACAATTATAGTTATACAAATCCCTTATTCACTGCGTACAATCTCAGATTTGGAGAAGGCAGTAGCCCAAAATGGCGGCGTGAGAAAGGCTAATTGGGTAGCAACGACTGTAAATTTCAAGGAGTTGCGTCAACTCCAAACGAGTTACAATTCTGTCACCAAAAACGGTGACAGAATAATTCTTTTGGAGTTGATTCAACTCCTTGAAGTTGATTCAACTCCTTTGAAATTTACAGTGTTGAACAGGTTACATAATAGACAAATTTGGCTAACGTTGTTTACATGAAGGAACTTACAGTACAAAAGGTAGTACCTTATTTCTATATATAGCAGGCTGGATATAGTGGAGTTTTGAAAGTATGTAAGATGAAGTTTGAAACCTTTTCTGTTTGTACTTTACTTTATTCATTATTTTGTTTAGATTAGATTGTCTAGTGGCAGAAACGTCACCGAAACATGCGAAAGTTGTGAAACATTACTTGATGTTATAACGAGAATAAAGCAAACTTATAATGAGTCTGACCATCTTGATATTGTTCAGGTATTTGTACTATACTACATGCATTTCTTTATTATATTATTATATCAGATCAGTATTTATCTATCGGCATCAGTACTAACAGTATTAGCGGTATACGAATTCGATATCCAGTCCAGCGTATTCCAACCCTGTTGTTGAGAGCTACAAAACAGAAGTTGGCTGAAATTTGGCTCGAATTTTTATAATTGCTGAAATTATTGCCTATATCATGCTTTCGTCGATCGTTATAACGAAACATCGTTTCGCCATTAATTGAACGGAGTCTGGCGATCTGTTTTCACAAGTGCTTGATTTATAACCACGTGGAACATACAATATGCGCATTTTTCTAGCCATTTCCCCACAAGACGTTCACTGGTGACGATCTTCAACAGTCTCTGATGACACTTGGCCTTACTCCTGGTGGATGTTTAGTGTTAAAGAAAAGTTCTAGTACTACAGGTACAGTAGTGCACTATACTGTTGCATCAATCACTATATAGACAACGTACAGTAGGCGAGTTGTATGGTTGATTTATACAGTACAATTAGTTCTAAGCAGGTTGCATGCGACAGGTTTAGGCAAAAGTTGTGTAGTGTAAATCGATCGTATGATGTGCAAGATGAGCCTGGTGAAAAGGTATATAGCTTTTGTATAATTTTAGCGCTTAAAACTGAAAATATAGTAAAATAAAAACTTTAAAAATACAGTATAGATAAAAAGTTGGTACATGTAAACTATGGTAGGAAACATGTACTGTACGTAGGAAACAGTGTTGTAATATATCTTGTATTGTAGGAACTCATGCACTCAGTCACCGAAGTGACAGTTACGATTTTTGGCCAAACTCGCCCCATTCTTCACTGTGACATATACAGAAGCATAATATATATGCAATTTTTTTTAGAACCACTGAGTATTTTAACAAAATACAAAACAAGTGTAACTCCAAAGATCGATAACATTTTTATATTTATCAATAAATATTTTTTGATAAATGTAAAAATGTTATCGATCTTTGGAACGTTTTGATTTTCTTATGTTTATTACGCTTATGTTTATTATATGCTCATGCTTATGTCGCAATGAGAACGGTATACCCAAGATATCCTTGATCCTTTAACGTTTACGTCTACGCTTATGCTATCATTATAGGCGTAAAACATAATTAATGTTTGTATGTATGTATGCAAGGTGAACAAGGAGAATATGAACATCACGGAGGAGAAGCTGTGAAGTCCCAAGGAAGACTGGAAGATGTACAAGGACAAGATGATATAGAAAGTGATCCTGACATTACTTTGCCTGGCCCGGATCTCGCACGATCTCAACATATTTGGGGTGCTGGTGTGACACAAGGCGGACAAAGAGATGAAGGACGGGAGGATATACCTCATGAAGGAGGGGAGGATATACCTCATGAAGGAGAGGAGGATATACCTCAACAAGATGAAATAGAAGGTGGTAATGACATTGCTGTACCTGGCCAGGACATCGCACGACATCAACATGTATGGGGAGCTGGTGTATCACTTGGCAGACATCCTTATAATCCACATGTAATTGTTCCTATTATTCATGCTGAATCTGCAGCCGAAGCTGCTGAAGCTAGATCAAGAACACAGACTGTGCAACATCAAGGTAATAATACTACAAAGAAACGTTATTACGTTATAATAATATTTTAACTATATTAAACTTTATAACTTATTTCTGTCTGTATAGCTTTTATGCGTGCGTTTTGCTATATACAGTACAGTAGTTGTTCGTAACGCTACAGAGAAACAAATATAAAGTACAGTATTTACATTAAAATGAAAATTTTTAACAATTGTTGCTGTATATAATGTATTTTGCAGACGTTCTCAAACTCATTAGTAATTTATGGATACGAAGGAAATCAGCATTAGTATACGTACTGTAAACGTGCATAAACTAAACTAAACTTCCGCGTTGAATTTCTCGTTAAACATTGATTCCATTTGAATTTCTTGGTTATGAGCCAAATCGTTGTGATAATTACGAATTGTTCTCGTCTTTCGCAGGTAAACCTGACACAGATCCTATATCGTTACCAAGTCAAGATGTTCCAACTTTAGTGGATACTTGTATCAAGGACATTGCAAAAAGATTACCTGGACATCACCATCCTGTAGGCAGCCTTGCACCATTACCTCAACGTCTGTGCTTGAAAATCGTAAAACATTTAATGAAAAAGAAGACATTAACACCTAAAACCTTGACTTCCTTTGTACCTTGGTAAGCTTTACTCAAATATATTTGTAAATTTGTATGCCTGTTATTGCGTAATATTGAAATTGTTTGTACTGATTGTAGTTTTCAAAATGTCGTGAAACAGCTAGTATATACAATATTGATACAACATAACTTATATCACAATCCTGAAGCTATATATGCTCTGCTACTTTACATTGGGGTATGCAAATCATGAAGGAATGGAGTCAGTAGCTGCCAGATATGCACAATGGATCCAACTTAGGAATCAACAGCGCGTGTGTTCTAAGGAAGCGTCTTCCAGATCCCAGTTTGATTTTCACGTCATCCGTCATAGACAGTGAACACACGTAGAATTACAATAACAGCTTAGAAAATAGTAACTGGACTAGTCCGAGCTTCCACACAAAAACAAAACATATATTTGCAAGCTTGGGTCCACCAACTCTGGCTGCGTGTGATATCACTTATGTTATTATGATATTACTAGTCCTACCATCATAGAGTGCTGAGACACCAGCAATCCATGTAGTGCCTAGTAAAACGAGCGCCATAGGAAGTAGGGGCTTTTCTCGATATACAGTAAAGGAGAATAATGGGCCGGAGTGAACGTCGAACGCAGTGATAGCTCAACTGAGCAAGCGATGCTATACTATTATTATAGCCACTTAAAGATAACCCCGTAGAGCCTAATGATATCCTAAATGCCTTACCCATTGCCATTAGTAAACGCTATAAAGACTGTCTTTATTGAAACGCCTTGAACCTAAACAGATCATAATTAATTACCCACAACTTAGGGCGTAACAGCCCCTATATATGAAACCACTGGTGCATAGAAAAAGCCATTACTCCCACAAATTATCATACAGGCGGAACTACACCGCTACCGACGTTAACTTCCTTTATTATTCTAATAAATACAGTTCACGCGCGAAAGCTCATTTGATATGCAAAATTTATACTAATGTCTCTTATTCTTCTTTCAGTCAACTGCAGCAACTTGTATTAGATCACTATCTTTATGTGACAAATGAACTTTTCCATACCATAAGGTAATTGGGTTACAAACATCCCCAAATTGCGTCCATTTATTTTATTTAATTCAAAGTTTTATCAATATTATATTATAGTTATTCACCTATAAAAACGATAATAGTAAATGGAAATCACAAAAATTATTTTTTGTTGGCAACAAAGAATTAGACAAATAGGACAGAGAGACATGGTAACTATGAAAACCACATGTAACTAACTGTAACTGTACTAAGTACTAACTGTACTTGCACTTACTAACCATACCAAATTTAATTTAATTTCGTTGAATCACGTCTGAGATATTAGACGTTCTTCTTTTTGTTGCCATCTGAAGCACAACCAGTGACTTCATAACACAAAAATACATAATGCCCGATAACTTGGGAACGATATGAGCTGGGGGGGGGGGGGATTTCGTGTCATATACACTTTAAATTTCATAGCTCTTAGTCTCTTACACTGGATTATTGTTACTCCTTGAACACTAATAATTTAACAAGAATCTGCTGCTCTAATAAATCATAAATGTGTAGTTAAATCTAAAAAACGCCCTTGTTTAATAGTGAGGGGCGTCTTTTACAAAATTCTGAATAGCTGTTATCGTAATTGTATATGTCTATGCTACGGACCAGCGGTATCTGCATTATTTTAACATCGAGACGAGGCTATAGGGTCATGTTTTGTGTTTTTTGACCCTTTAGCCTCGTTTTCGTGCGTACTTCCACTGAGATACCGCTGGTTCGCCGCAGCGGCGTATTCAATTACAATAACAGCTATTAACCGGGGCGTTTCTTTGAGAGCGGGGCGTTTATTAGAGAGCGCGTTGATTAGGTCATTTACGGTCTTTATGTTCATACTTTGTGTAGGTTTTTCAAAGGCTTGACCCATCTTAGTGTTCAATCGTGCACAGTCTTCACTGACAAAGCCTTGGAGGCCATCGCAGGTAATTTTCGATTTCAAAGTAATTCATTTTCGCCAGGTTTCTAAAAACATCAAAACTAGTAGGTAATGTAAAGGGGACGTGTGTACTCTCCATACCACCTCCGTTGCGTCTTGTTTCTATTGACACGATACTCTGATGCACTTCTAAGTGTGTTTGAGATACAGTCGAATCTTTAATATCAACGGGGAATGTTTCAAGATTAAGATTAAGGTTGAGATTTAACACAAATCTACATGTAGCACAAATCTACATGTGGATATGATGAAATGCTTTTAAATCAGGTGTCACGCTTACCTAATTACATACTTCTTACCCTATAGACTATTTTATCTTGTGCAACTATTGTGATATTACTTTCTTAACTGTTTTTATCCTACCCACGCTGACCCTGTCAATGTTCCCTGTGGGAGGAAACTGGAGCACCCGGCGAAAACCCATGACTTTCGGCAGAGCGTTGACTGACTCTCAGTTCACATGAGTGGGCAACGAGAGAATCGAACCCACGATCTCGCAGGTGAAAGGCGCTTGCTGGGACGACTGCGCCACCGAAACCCTATCATGGCCCATGTCTGTTTCTTAGAGGTGTCTGCTGGATAGAGTGTTTGTTAATTATTAAATAGTTGTTCCCTGTATTAAAGTTTTTAAATTTTAATTCTATTTGTTTTGTAGGATTGAAGAAAATAATCCACTTGGATTTCAGTAATTGTACCCAGCTCACGAATAAGTGTTTGAAGCATTTAAAAAGTATGTGAATCCGTCGAAACTTTTCGTAAGTTACAATATATTGTGTCAGCTTTACTTTGTATGATATTTCATCGAAACATGTTCTCTAACCAAAATTGCCTTCGTCAGCCACAGTGAATAGAAAAAACTACAAGTATTTATTCCTGTTGCGGGGACTTAAAAAATAGGCGAACTTCGACGTTTCGAGCGACGTCGGGAAGTTAATAGTGGGGGTCGTGATACTATATACCAACACTGGCACAGACCGTACGAGATTTATTCCCGTTCACTATTTTTCTGTATTTTCTATTACCGACATTGAAAGCCACGGGAAGGTGTTTAAAAGCTGGTAAATAGGAATTTATGCAGACGCGTATGGGCGGGGGGGGACATGCCCCCCCCCCCAAATTTTTACGGTCGGGCAAAAATCAATACGACATTCGGAAATGTCCTGAAAAAAATTTTGTATCTTTGCGAAAATTACGTGTGTTAGGAAAAATTTTTTGATATGTCCGGCAAAATTTTCGTATGTTTGTAGAAAAGTATTTGGTATGTCCGGAAAATTTTTTTTGGTATGTCCTGAAAATATTTTTTGTGACCCCTCCCCCCCCGCTCGCCAACAATTTTGGGGAGAAATATTAATGTTCAGTTTGCCTGTTCGGGCAAACTATATACTGGCCCGTACGCCCATGAATTTATGGTCCGAGAAGGTGTAATTTTACGACCTGTAATCAAGTGAGCTGATCAGTAGCCTATAACCATTCATCTTTTGAATTCTTTCTTCAGCGCATAGAAACCTCGAAACTCTCAAACTTGATAATACCAAGGTAAAGTACGTAACCCTAAGACATTCGTAGAACACCGAAAAACCGACAATATTTTTTAGAATTAAAATATTTGGTTCCCTCACAGGTGACTGATGAAGGTTTATGTCCACTCTTCAAGGATTCAGAATGGAACAAACTTCATACTCTGAGCCTGAGCAAAACTGCTGTTTCGAACATAACTCTTCAGGCTTTGCAAGGTACCGCGAGGAGAATACTCTCTGTCATGTAGAATACATTCAATCAATATTATGGATAACTGTAAATTTTATTACGAGTACGCTAACACGGATACATGCATGCAATATTGCAGTAATTCGTTTTTTGTGCGTCAGTAATGCTATATTTTGCTGTTGCCATTTCCTGTTTACTCGTGATGACCACAAGAAATACGGTGTGACTGGCGCTATAGCGACGTTTTGTCAACACTGGCGTCAGATTGCCGAAGGGGGGGGATGAAAACTGTGTTTGTGTCAGTTTGTGGTAATCTTCAACACATATGACAAAACATAAGATTTTTAAAGTTTTTTTGCTTTCTTGCATGAGCGCTATAATGCAAAATGCCGCCAAAATTAGTTATACGAATTTTCGGGTGACGTGCGTGTTGACAAAAACGTCGCTTGCTTAAGCTCACGAATAGACCTTCGAATTGCTTACGTCACGCAATTTTTAATACAGAGGACGTCTGAGTTCTGGAATGCACAGTGCATTGTGGGATACTTTTGGGATTCATTGTTTGAAAATTACGTAAGCACTTCTAAGGTTCATTGATATGCGCTATTTGACTGGTTTAGAAAAAATGACGCGAACTAAAAGACTTGAAAGACACGCCTTCGAAACAAAGAAAATTCTTCATGCAAAGTTGCAAACATGCTCTCAATCTTGAACTGAAATTGAGATCGCGTCGTTGCCTCGTTGTCTTTTCTAAGTCTGTCTATTATTAATATGTCTGGTGTGGTCTACTTTGCTGAAATTCATATACTGTATGGAGGAATGTGGAGGTTATACAATTATCATTTATAGACTCTTCGCTCGGGGGATTCGGCGAAATATTACCCTCAGTGATGATATTTCCCTCGGGGCCCCGAGGGAAATACTGTATCATCATGGAGGGTAATATTTCGCCGAATCTCCCGAGCGGAGGGTCTATAAATGATATATTATATCGAAAATTAAAAGCCTCCAAGTTGAGAATATAAAACTTTCCACATTCTTCGTGAATACGATGTTTTATTTTTGGATTAACGCAAGTATCGTCGCTTTTCTTTCGAATCACATATCGTTTGGAATGTTAATGACAACATTTTTCATAATTTGCTTCAAAATTGAAAAAACCCCAGGTGTTTTTACGTTTAAAATTTAATTATTCATCCTTACTATTATTTTGTCGGCCATCTTATTGTCATGCGTGTTGTCTCGCGTGGTCTACGCGAATAATGTTCAACCCCATGTTCCCCGGGGAACATGGGGTGGAACATTGTCAAAAGGAACGCAGGCTCGCTAATTGATGACGTAAGGCGTGATATCGTGATTAATTTCATGCTCACGTGCCACAAACTGAGCTTTCTGATTGGACAATTTGAAGTTGAGGTATAATATTGTAATCTGTTTCTCGGCGTCCTACTTATAGATGATGTTTTGATGCAAAGTTAAATGTTATTTGTGCACAGGAATGTTTGAAATAAATTACCCTTAATTAAAATTCTGTTTAGCAAAGAATCTGAATGACCTTCATTTGGAGCAAACCAATGTAAGTGATTTGTGTTAGATATGGGAACATCGGGGTCGTTTGTATAAAAAAGTAGTTAAATGTAACTACTATTTAACTACAAAATGGGCAGTTAAGCAAGCTTTAGTTTAACCCAGTTTAGCTTATTAGAACTCCAAATTCGTCACACAAATGTATAACTTACATGATTAAAAACTAAAGAGATCAAGGAAGAAAGATAGGCGATAAGAAAGAACACAGGACAAAATGAACTTATAATATATGTACTATTTAAAACACGAGTAGGAGTGTTTTATCAGATATAAAACGCGAGGCGCAGTTATATAATGCCACATGTGTTTTATCAGATATAAAGTCACTCCACGTGATATATTATGGCTGACATGATTTGCCAAGGTTTATGAATTATTAATGAGTATTTTAAGTACTATTTACAGACCTACAGTAATGTGTTTTGGAAAACCCTGGAAAGTGAAATATTGTAGTCAGTGCATTATGTAATTTGTGTTAAGGTATCGGAATTGCAAGCGCTAGCAAGTTTGACTTGTTTAGCTCGTTTGAACGTTGGTGGGACAAGAATAACCGATCAAAGTTTGTTGTGTCTGAGAAACCATCCTTCACTTCAGAAACTTAACTTACATCAAACACAAGTCACTGATCAGGGTCTTGCTCATCTTGCGGGTAAGTGGTGCACATTTAAAGGACGTCATATAAGGCTCGTTCACACGATCCAATGTGTCAGATCCGATCACCGTTAAACTGACCTCCCGAGAGTCGGATCCGTCATTCTGAGAAATGGGACCGAAATAGAACCTGCTCTATTTCCATCCAACAAGATGGAAAGAATCCAATCTTAGACCTAAACATGCCACCTCTAGCACCTGATTGCGAGTTAAACATTGGTAAAATCGGATTGTCTCAGCAGGCATCCGGTACAATTGGATCCAACAAATCCGATTGTGTAAACGAGCCTTTTGGCAGTTAAAGCTTGAAGTTGAGTCTTAACGTCGTCGTTTAATTAACTATATTTAACAGAAAAGTGGCTCACGAGCCGCCGAGGCGAGCGGGTCACTTTTAGTTCTTCCCTCATTATGACGTCATACTGTGTATCTATAATTGAACAGGCAACGGCAAAATCTTATCTATTTGTTTTATATAATAAAAAGAAACCCCCCGAATTAAACAAGTAAATAGCTTACTTTTTATCCACCCAAACATTTGGAAATTTGAAAAAGTCGACATTTTACAAATATCACGCGTACATGACCAAAACAAATAAGAGAATGCTATTGGCTACCTTAATTGTGACGTAATTCCGTGCGTCTGTCTTCTAATAGATCATGGCTCTCGACCAATGAAAGCGCTTGAATTGTTAACGTTATTATATAAAAGAGTATAGACTTAGTATGGAATTAGTATTTGATAGATATGGAAGAGGTTTAGCTTTGAAGTATACTATATGCATTGGTTAATCATCAGGTAGATTATACGTATCTGATGGTAGTGGAAGTCAAATCTGAACATCTCTATTTTAACTGCATGCATGTACCTTATTACTGTAGCTGCTTCTGGCAATGAAAGATACAGCCAGTGATAATTATGCTATTGTGCAATTGCTGAGACGTTTATACTATGGTTCTTGAATTCTTGAAAGATCAACAAAGCATAACCGGTCGCAGGCCAGTTGCAGAAATGCATGGCACAACGGTGTATTTCTCCTGGAGAATCCGTACCCGCTAACCCGCACGTGCTTTCTGGAACTATCTTGTAGTGTGAGATCCTTGCATTTATGTACTCTTTTTAATCTGTATATAGGTTTGCAGCTGGTGGAACTCTGTCTTCCCAATAGACTAAACATAACAGATGTTGGGATATCATATCTTCAAGGTACAGTATGCATGCATGTAATTTTATTTATGTGCATGGAGGTAGCCAATGACTTTTGGAGTTGTTAGCCCGTATAATCACAGGTTCACATATAGCTCTACTATGTCCACATGATTTTGGAGTTGGCCATGCAACTTCAGATTTCTTAATTCAATTGAGTTGTGAAGTTTGAAGCGTATATTTTGAATTTTGAGTTAGGCCCTTAGACTATGGAGGCACTGTAGTATCGCTCTATGGCTTCCTAACTTCGGCCATGCAGGTACCATAGATGTACAGTAGGAGGCAGGGGGAGCAGCTGTCCCCCTCCAGAAAAAATGTTGGGCAAATTATAAACGTAAGTCGGGAAAGATGGGGGAGATTAATTTGAAAGGAGGAAATAATGTAAGATTACAGTCGCATACGCCTATGCATGGTACAATACCTTTTGATAGTGCTTAAACATATACAATCCCAAATCATCAATTGATTATGGATTGCATATGCTGATCATCAAACTGCATTGCAAATGCTGATCAACCCGTTTTCCACAAAGTAAATTTGTTCACACGAAGCTAGGCAAAAAACAAATGTTGGCAATGTGAAACAAAGCAACAAAGCGACAACGACGGGCGGAACGTACTCGTCCAGATAAATGATTGTAGTCTACTTTACTGTTCTAAGCACACCGTGGAGAACGTATAAAACTCCCGTTGGATTTTAATTATTCATTTCTTTTCGTAAATATTATGAATTGTATTGTATATGTAGCCGTCGTCGTTGCGTTGCCATCCTACATCGTAAAGACCGTTTTCCACCAGGTGAAATAGTTCGCGCGAAGCGAAGCGACAAGTAAAAAAGTAGGAAATGATCCAACTTTTTCCTGGCAATTTTTTTTTTGCTGACCGATTACATTGCCGAAATTTGTTTTTCGCTTCGCGCGAACAAATTTGTTTGGTGGAAGACGGGCTTAAGGTCTAGTAAAAAATCTGCTTAAATGTTTATATTTGCATATACAGTAATTATAATTAATAGTTATAAAATATTGAGTAATATTCTATTATCCATGCATGGATAAATTAATGAACGTTTAAATATAGATTTGCCGCTAACGTCTATGGATCTTACTGATTACGTCAATATAACTGATGAGGCGCTGAGGACAGTTGCACAACTGACAAGGTAACTGTTTGCAGTATTCACTGACCCTTGCGTGTGACGTCACGTAAAAAGGGGGAAATTGTTTGACTTATACACGGCATGAATTAGCCGTCAATTTCCCCCAAGTTTACTTCGATAGAGCTCCAAATAATCGCTTTCATTGACTTGCTTAATACGAATTCAGAAAGGCCATTTTCTGGCGAATTCAGACGGTGGTTTCCTCTGCTTTCTGTAGTGCCCAACATTAGTAGTGAGCTTAAGCAAATGACGTCAACACGGACGTCATGACTGCATTTTGCATCATAAAGCAAAAACTTTAAAAATCTTATATTTTCTCATTTGTGTTGACGATTACTCAAACTAACAAAAAAGTTTTTTATCCAGTCCCCCTTCGGCAAACTGACGTCCGTGTTGACAAAAACGTCGCCTCCCCAAATGATATTAAACTGTTTAAATTTAATATGCTTAATATACTGCCTACAGGCTTACACGATTGTCCTTAAGTAAAACCAAGATTTCAGATAATGGGATGCAACTACTGTCAGGTAAGCGCTTCTTTAATATTCAACTCAATTCAAGTACCTGGTGAGCATTACGATCTTCCTTAATGCAGGTCTCGTCAGTTTAAGAGAACTTGATCTGGAACGAACAGCAGTCGGTGATGATGGATTGGATGTTCTTTCATGTAAGTTTTCTTTTTATACATTTTTTGCTGAAACTTTTTTATAATTCCATTACAAACTATGATCTTGTATTTATCTTCTTTAGTACTTTTATTAAAAAGCACTAACTTATGGAACAGTAAGCTAGACCAGTGAGACCTGTTCTGTGTCGGTTGCAAGCGTACGGTTAATTGGGCAATGTAAAACCGTCAAAATTAGCAAGTTGTTATCAGCCGTGTCAATCATATAATAGTGCCAATCATTCTAAATTTTGATTTCTGGATAATTTTCTAGCTATGACGTATATACGGTGTACTGCACTACTAATATATCTCAATTCTTCGATAATCCCGAGAAAATGGCACCCTTTGGTCTATCTGACCATTTTACGATATCGCTTTTTCCAAAGATCAGAAATATTAATACGAATAGACCAAGAGTAGTTAAATCACGTGACATTAGATCAAGCAACAAAATGGCCCTTGGGAGAGTTCTTTCAACAATTGATTGGTCGTGTTTGGATCTAATTAACTCTTGTGAGGGAAAGGTTGACTTTTTTAACAAAATTGTATCTGATTCTCTTAATTTAATCATGCCGATAAAAATCAGGACTATAGGCCTACATAATAATGATGCCCCCTGGATGTCCGACAAACTTAAACGTTATCGATTAAGAATCGGCAGCGAGCCTTACAATCAGGGAACAGTATTGAATTTAAATATTATCGCAATGTAGTTAACATGGAACGAAAGAAATGCAAGTCCTCCTACTATGATTGCAAGATTAAAAACCTGAAACATGTTAAGCCTAGGAACTGGTGGAGTGCAGTTAAAAAAATAAGTGGAATGGATACAATCACCAAATCTGATCTTCGCTCCAATTTACAAATTGATGACCTCGATAACTTAAGTGATATCGAGGTTGCAAATAAAATTAATGACAAGTTTCTGGAACCACTCCAAGAGTTTCAACCGTTGCAAATCACAGTACCAAACAACGACTCCATTTCAAATGTCCTCACAGTGTCTGAACTGGACGTCTGGAATTGTTTAAACTCACTCAATCCCTGAAAGTCAGGTGGGCCTGATAATATCCCGTCTTGGGTTCTTAAAAAATATGCAATGATTCTCTCATTACCAGTGATGAAAATCATAAACAGTTCCTACACTGAAAACAAACTACCCCCAATTTGGAAGCAAGCAAATATCATCCCAGTCCCAAAGGTGACGCCAGCTCATGACATTAACCAACATCTTAGACCCATTTCGTTAACTCCTCTACTTTCTAAAGTCGCCGAAGAATTCGTGGTTATTAAGCATTTAAAACCCGCAATCCTTAAAGTTTTAGATGTAAATCAATATGGTGTTATTCCCGGCTCGTCCACAAACCAGGCGCTTATTAAAATGATTCATAAATGGTCGGAGAAAACAGACGGTGCTAGAGCCTCAGTAAGGATTGTTTTGGTTGATTACCAAAAAGCTTTCGATTATGTAGACCACACCATCGTCCTATCTAAACTGAAATCCCTCGAAATCCCTGATTCCACTGTTAGTTGGATTGCAGATTTCCTGAGTGACAGACAACAACGAACCAAATTGGGACACGACTGTTTTTCGGAGTGGGGGAATGTCCCAGCTGGTGTCCCTCAAGGAACCAAGCTGGGTCCGTGGTTATTTATATTGATGATAAACGATCTAAAAACACGTTGTTTAGACGAGGTAAAATTCGTAGACGATCTAACGGTATATGAAACAGTAACCAGATTTGGTTCAAGTGATATCCAACATGCAGTGTCCGAAATTGAAGAGTGGTCCGAGTCAAACCTTTTCAGATTGAATGAAAACAAATGCAAAGAATTGCGGATAGACTTTGCGAAAAATAGAAATCCCTTTCCTCCTATTAAAATTAATGGTAAACCCTTACAAGTGGTGGAAGAAGCAAAATTACTGGGTCTTACTATCGCGAACAATTTGAAGTGGAATAGTCATGTCAATAACATAGTGACAAAAAGTTCCAAAAGGATTTACCTTTTAGTGCAGCTGAAACGAGCAAAAGTCGCAATTCAAGATGTTTTACAATTCTATACCGTATGTATCCGCCCCATTCTGGAATACGCTTCCACTGTTTTCCACTACTCTTTACCTAAATACTTGAGTGATGAAATTGAACGAGTACAAAAACGGGTTCTTCGAATTGTATATCCGAACTTACATTACGAAGATGCATTGATGGAAGCTGGGATGGAGTCATTGTACGCTAGAAGGCAAATTGCCTGCAATAAACTTTTTAATCAAATTTTAAATAACCCGAACCATAAACTTCATAATTTAATCCCTAAAATAGATACTTCATTAAATTACCAATTACGAAACAACAAGAAGATACATGTTCCGAAATTCTATACTGAACGTTTTAAGAATTCGTATGTTATCGCTAGTTGTTTAGACATAAATAATCGTAATTCAACAAATTAGTGTTAGTTTTAATATTTATAATCTTCTTAGTAAGCCATAGCATAGGTTGTAATTTTTTAAATGTAATATAATTTGTATTCAGTCTTATTTATATTGTAATCGCTTACCAATTCAGTGTTTGTACTGCAAAAAGTGAATTATTAAACAATCTATCTATCTATCTATCTACTACCCCTGGCCATAAAGCATCTTTGATGCTTGAACTATAACGTTATTACAGTAATTATTGTTGTAACAAATAAAATTACTTTATAGGCTTGGGTAGACTTGAAGAACTCAATCTTTCTGGAACGAGGGTCACCGATGATGGTTTATCCTCTGGAAAACTGAACTTCTTAAGTTTATTGTGTAAATTAAATCTCAGTAGAACAAATGTTTCTGATTCTGGTGTTGCAAATCTACAACTTCCTGAATTAACTTTGCTAAATTTGGACTGGACTTTGACAACTGAGCAATGTCGAAATTTACTGGGAGGTAAGTCAAGTGGGTTTTCTTTCGATTTTCTTTTTCGTTTTACTTCATTTTCGTGCATACAAGCACTGTTTTTGTTTACCCGGAGGTTGCGGCAAATTTCAAAGATAACGTTTCATGTATATCCTTGTAAACTCATTAGAAATGAACAATGAAAATGTTTCGGGTATCGAGCCATGTTATATATCGCATTGGCTACCGCGCTTAATCTGCCGACATTTTCTTCCCATGTATTTTATTTTTCATCCCTTAGGAGTATGTTAAAAAAGTGTAGAGTCGAATTCGACAGAGTAGAATTCGAAAGTTTCGACAAAAATTGCCTTTTAGTTACAAGTAATAGTGGTTGTCTCTGCTGATAAATCATAAAACCACGAGTATTTGTAACTAGTTAACATATATGAATTGGTTCATTTAACAAGTTGTCTTCCAACATTCGCGTCCGTGTTGTATTGAATATATATATATATATATATATATATATATATATATATATATATATATATATATATATATATATATATATATATATATATATATATATATATATATACTGTATAAATCACTCACTCGGCTTCAACTTCATATAATATGATTTCATAGATGTCTTCATGATTTCATAGATGTCTTTTCACGTGTGAGCTGTTTCAATCACACATATGTAAAATTAATGGGGAGGTGCAAAATTATCTCTCCAAAGCGGGGGAAGGGGGGAGAGCTTGTTCAAACTTCAGGAGGAGGTGCAAAATCCACTCTCCAAAGGGGGGGGGGGGGGAGAGGGGGGCTTTAGTCTATACTAAGTGGGGAAATGTACAGTACAATAAACTAGGACATTATACAATGTAGACCCTTGCAACGTACCTTTCTCTAAGAACCTTTGGTGAACCTTTATTACCATACCTTTATTACCATTTGGTGAACCTAATACCAGGCCGCAGGCAGTGTCATAGAATGGCCTTGGTCTTTTCGGGTTTGTTTTTTTTGGTTGTCGCAAGTGTGACTTTCTATTGCGGCATCGTGGGCTCAGGATTTCGCAATTTAGCTAAAACATGTTCACGTGATTACGACATGGATTAGGATTGGAGTTAGGACCAGTTCTACACAATGTTAATTAGAACGAGTTTCGTATTTAACTACGTTACAAATCTTAGACGCTGTAATTGTGGGACGTATTTTAATATATTTCATTGCGCATACACTTGAAATTTTTCTGTGTTTTTCGATAAGATATCGCTGAACTCTATTGGTTTTGTATGGATTTTTATTGTGCCGTACTCTGAATGTTTGTGATCATGAAGTGACGGCCGTCAAAAAAATGAGGAACACCTATATATTTCAAATTATTTTTTAGAATATTGCGATGGTATTTTACCATCCGCGAAGGCCAGTGCATGTGAACGCCTGAGCAGGCGTCTTGTTTTCATATGTGAAAGAATACGTGAAAATCAAATTTCATATTTAAAAATATATGAAATGTGCATGTTCACATGTGGCATGTTCCAATTCCAGATATTGTTCCACATATACATGTGGAATAATATGTGAAATTTTCATAAGAGATAGGATCCAGGCTACAAGAGTACTTCATTGTTCATTATGTGTATTCCGAGTTGACGTCACACTCTAAAATTTAGACAGAAATTCAAAATAGAAATATTAAATACAGAGAGATTTATCTTACAATGTTTTCGCTGCATTTTGGAAACTAAGTCAGAACTGTGAATTCTATAAAATTTACTTTTCAGCTGTTCCTTTTTATATATGTTCACTCGACCACAATAATGCACAAATAACTTTACAATGAGACGGTATATCGAAATCTGCATGTATGAACTCTATGATGAATTTTTTCAGGTTGTCCGCAACTTCAAGCCCTTCGACGTCAAAACTGTCGAACTGAAAATCGTCTGGGAGAAATGTAACGGTGAAGTATTTTTATATTGTTGGAATCGTATTTTATAGTAAATTATCAATAAAGGGGATTATTTAATTTTGCAACAGTCAGGGTCTATTTCAACGGAAAAAAGTTTTAATATTTTAAACTAAACAATCCTTTCATTGTTTTTACGATAATAAATGAAGCATTCACACGTACTTTCAATTCCCGTCGAAGACGCAGGGGTGGAAAAAGTATCGGAACCTGGGAACCTAGTTCCCAGAAATTTTTTTGAGTTGAGAGTTTTGCAGAAAGTTTTCCAGAAAATATTTCAACATTTTGAGATAACTCTGTTTACTCAAGTTACAACTATTCTACTTTATTTACGCTATACGCGCAAACATCAGCATAGCCTGCGAACAGGCTCTCAAGCTGAATTGAGAGCCTGCATCGATGACTAATGAATTTGAATATCTGCCCCGTAACGTTCGTTTTTTCAAATATGGAATGTCTATCCTTATATGGTGTTGTTTACAACTTTCGTGCAAACTAAATTTAGACCGTGCAAACTAAATTTAGACCGTACAGTTTATACTGTTTTTCAAAATATAAGATATTCAAGCAAAAGTTTAAATGTTTTAAATACTGTTTTCTCAAAACAGAACATTTCGTGCTTTGAGATAAGATGGCCAAGATCAATTTGATCAGTTAATGTGTTTTTTATGCATAGTGCAACAGTTGACATATATAGAGCTCAGCGGAATAATATAAATTATAGCATCTGACCAATGAGAATTTCGCGTCACGATTTGAGACGCAGATATTCAAATTCATTAGTCATCGATGCAGGCTCTCAATTCAGCTTGAGAGCCTGTTCGCAGGCTAACATCAGCAGCTTTTAAATATTTGACAGCAATTAATTCTTTTACCCACCCCTGCCATCACAATGACTGGTAAAATGGTAAATATATGCTCTGCAAAGTCTCCATTAAAATGCAAATTAAATAGTAAACAAATAAAAGTGATGGAATAAGTAAGATGATAGGACACTTAGTTAAGCGTGAGATCTTTACTATGATGTTTGTGATGTTATTCCGGGTGTGTATCCACACCGCGCAAGCTTGAAAAATATGCCTGGCTACGGTGGGAATTGAACCTACGACCTTTGGAATACTAGCCCAATGCTCTGCCAGCTGAGCTACGCGGTCAGGTCGGTTCGAGTATGTGATATTTCGGAACTGAGTTTAGTTCCTTCGACATCAATGTAATCTAAAAATCATGATTTTTTGTGTTGGTGTTGTATACTCAGGTGAATATGATGTTTGTGATGTTACTCTGAGTGTGTATCCACACCGGGCAAGCTTGAAAAATATGCCTGGCCACGGTGGGAATCGAACCTATACGACCTTTGGAATACTAGATTACAATGATGTCAAAGGAACTAAACTCAGTTCCGAAATATCACATACTCGAACCGACCTGACCGCGTAGCTCAGTTGGCAGAACATTGGGCTAGTAATCCAAATGTCGTAGGTTCGATTCCCATCGTGGCCAGGCATATTTTTCAAGTTTGCCTGGTGTGGATATACACTCAGAGTAACATCACAAACATCATATTCACCTTAGTAACCTTAGTACATAACACCAACACAGAAAAAATCAAGATCCTTACTAGTTGGTCATAACTCATAACTGTGGTATATAACAGACAACTATTGTGATGTACAAGCGTACGAAAACCAGCCTAAAGCCCATTATTACTAAAGTACAAATAATACAATAATTGTGCATTTGTTTTGTTATTTTTGTAATTGTAACATTACAAATTTTACAGAAAATTTCTAGCCTTCGACCCAGGTTCCCAGAAAGAAAAAATTTTTTTCCACCCCTGAGAAGACGTAATGGAGTTTCTTGCTCAACCAATGCCCTATATCAGTGGAATTTGGTAGGGTGGGGAGGCTTTTGGTTGAAATGTTCCAATTTGGAAGAATTTCCAAATCATAAGAACCGGAACATTATTAACATCATCCTCTTATACCCTGGGCATTTCTGTATGCTACTGAAACTGAAACACAATAAATGCGCCAAATACTTGTAGTTTACATTTTTATTTCTCCATAACCATAATACATCATACATAAAATAAATGTATCTATGTAAAACGAACTAAAACTGGAGCAATACCTTTATCCAGATGCACAAAAATTCTAATTTTGACTTAAATCCTAATTGACATCTCCATACTTTTTATCTAAAGTTTTTACCTATATTCTTATCAAATCAGCACTATATGTATTGTATTTAGTTTCCAATATTAGGTAACTCGTGGATATAACAGTTTTAGCTGTTTAACTGTTATAAATATCGATGTAATAATGTATATATGTACTGCGTACAGTGCCTCACAGAGAAATTTATAGGGGCCTGGGGCAAATTAAAAACCTAGGACCCTAGTGATTTCCCATCGTCAAATACTCTTGAGGTCATGCGCTGCTTTAGAAATTGATTTCCATATTCTTGAACTTTTAGGACAATTAATGAGATTATTTCGTTTGGTTTTGAGTGTTTAAATTACATTTTCAATGCGTATTTGGCACTTAAATAGTTTACGGGATTCTCCTCCTGAAAAATTGAAATCTGGAATCTCTGGAATGGTGAATTCCTGCATTCGTGGAGACTATTTATTTCAAAAAAGGACCTGGGAACGAGGTTGTATTTAACTATGCATACTTTCTATGCATATTTTACTTCCTTATTTGGGGCCCCTTTTGCCCCCCCCCCCCCACGCTTGCTCTGGGTAGCCTTTACTGCGTACGACAACTTGCAAATGCTACACCCATCCATACTCTTACCACTAAGGTATACAGTAGATAGAGGTACATGAATTGTCCACACTGCTGTTTTCTAAAATCCTCTTAATCAAATGATTGAATTTTGAAAGATATTTTACTTTGAAGTATATGATCTATATATACAATCTGGCTTCTTAAATCTTCCTAAATTGTACATTTCTTTTGGGGAAAAATACTACGATTTAGATACATTTCTCTTGAGTGTTCTCAAAACGTTTCTAGGAAATCCTACCGTTCAACGATAATTTCGGCGCCGAATTTGGCGGAAATTATTATAGATGTAAATAAATGTTGATATATATACACGCTAAAACCAATGGAAGCTCAAACACTGCAATAATTTTACATAGAGAACAACCAAAAACTGTCCTCCAACCAACGACAAAGCTAAGGTCTGTATTTAGCCAGCAACAAATATCGCTCAACATATATGATATTTATTTCAATGTCAGCAAGTACCAGTACAAGATATTCATGAAACCAAAGGATACTGGAAAGAGAACGCGACAAACACGGTCGATCATTTGACTCAAAGAGAATTTACAGTTGGATGTGTAGACATATGATTTTGGTATACACTTGGGAAGCACAACCGAACTGCGGCTGCGACGGTATAGGTCGTTGTGCGCAAACGCGATGCGCAATGAACGTGTTTCACCGTTTTCGTCAACCAAACAAGGAGATGTTGCTTCTTGTTGTTTCAAGGCGTCCATCTTGACGGAGTCCTCCTGAATTAAGGTAAAGGTATTTTTAAACAAAAACACTTGCCGAACGGTAGGGCTGTCTAGCAGCCTATCAAAACCAGTTTATTTCTGTGTGTCTTTTTATTATTTCTTATATGATGAACAGACGGTATTCTACTTTTGAAGCTAATAAATAGCTATCGTTTTATGGGAATATTGGCTTATTGTTTTATCTGAGTTAAGTATATCTGCTTTGCTTGCACATTCAATAGAGAAACATGTTTGAAACCAATGCCTTGCTACTCTTTCTCTAGCTAGTTACCAGTTGATTATTCTCATGCAATAAATAAATTTGCGTAAAGACCTCACTGGTAGCACTTTTCAGCAACCATGTAGTTATTACACATTTATCGAAGTTAATAACCAATGGAAACCCAAAGAGAATGGTCTGAAACTTGGTCCAATACCATCCATTTTACAGTTCTCAGACATAAAAGCAGCTGTAGCAACTTACCCTCATTACGTTGTTTGGCTTGTATCCGATAACTTCCTCCGTAATATTTGTCTTTTTATCTTCTTTAAGCATTTCATCGTAACGAGAAAATTTGAAAACAACGAGAGACTCAACCAAGGTGGCAAACACGAACATGAAACATGTGATTAGGTACAAGTCTATAGCTTTGGCATAACTCACACGAGGCATGGAGGAATTGTTGGTACCAAGTAGAAAAACTATCGTAAGAATTGTTGTGATACCTGAAAATAAATGGTAATCGGACTTAGAATATAGTAATTGAAAGAAGTGGTGGTTGGTATGTAAAAGAATACAGGAGTACCATAGTGTCTATTGCAGCCACGACAGTCACATATCCTCTACATTTCATCTTATAGTTGTTGAGTTCCGCATTCGAAATTTCGGGCTGCAAGCATGCAGGCTATTATTGAGAAGCGGAATACGGCGCCTTACGATGCAGGACGGCAACGTGTGGACGACGGCTATTAATATAGGGAAGTTCAACTTCATATTACTTTAGAAGTAATTGCATGGGAACTTTTCAAAAGAGTCCCGTTCGTACCTTTTTGGATCTAACTTTAAAATGTCTTCGTTTTTACTATGTAAATATTCGCGCTTTTTTTGCATGTTTGTATATACATTGATCCAAATAAATTTGTTAAAAAAAATTTTAAAAAAGAAGTCGTATGGGATTTTCAGAGGTCATCCACGCTCTGTCATAACCTCCTCAAACTATTAAATTCATACGATCGATAATACACAACAATTTTTTTTTTCAGAATTATTTATTTGAAGGAGTTTGTTTGGCTCTCGTCGCGTTGCCGTCGTACATTCGTAAGGTCCCTATTTAATGTCATCCAGTGACGCCTGTACCTTTGGTGGCACCCCACCAAAGGTACAGGCATATAGGTTTTGCATATAGGTTTCGGGCACCCCTTTTTCGATTATCTAAATGGATGAATATCAGAAGGCGGTGCTTAATATAAACCGCGGCCTAGCAACTTAATTAAGTATAACTATAGTATCACCAATGAAACTCTCAGGTTCTCTTTGCTGCTAGTCTTGTCATTAGCAAAAGCAATGCTTAAAAAAGTTATGCATCAATTCGCAGTTTCCGAATCAAGCACACACACATTGTAAACAATGACAGAAGGGGAGGAAACAAATCTATTTGTTTTGAAAACGTTAGAAAACTTCTTCACGTCTCCATATTTTAAGGATAAGCATTGACAAGAATTACAATAAAATATACCTAGCGATACTCTTTCTCCAATGTCTCTTGCATCAATATAAAATGATAGCCAACTGAGAATAGTGATGATTAAGCATGGAAGATAAACTTGAATAAGATAGAAACCCATCCGACGTTCGAATCTGAATGTCGCCCGCAGACTTGTGTAATTTCCTTTGAAAACAAAGAACATTAAATTGCATGCTATATCATGAATAGTGCAGTCTTATCGCATTCCAAAATTTGGTTCAATTGAAATACTGAGATTTATCCTTGCATACAATCCTTATCGCAATCCATACAATCCTTATCGCAATCCTAACACCTGCAACAATCCTGTCCTTAATCCAAGCCCTTTTCCTAACCTATATTCTATTCTTAACCCTTACCCTATATAATCTTAACCCTTATCCTGCATGACCTTACCCATTTTTTGGCCCTAATTCTAACCCTTACCACAATCTTATCCTAACCCTTAACTTAATCTTAACCCTAATCCTGACCTTATTCCTAACTCTGACCCTTATACATTACCTAAATCCTAACACTATAATCCTATAGCCATGATCCTAGCCCTAACCACCAAAATCACAAATTATTGCACGTCATTTTATATGGAAAGTGAATCAAGAATATTTTGCAAATTAAAATTCCAATTAACCTGCTTTATACGTGACATTTTCGACTGTACATTTGATATCAGCAATTTCAAACTCAGCCATTTGTGTATTTATGACCTGTATTGGTTGACTTGTTTCAGTGTTCCAGGCAAGTTGCATATGGTCTCTGCTGTAAGCATCTAGACGGAAGGATTATGATATCTTTAGAAACAAAATAGCGCCCAAAATACATGCCACAAATCCATGCACATTTAAAAAATGCAATATCCCCTTCCCTCGGTGCATGTACAACTATACAAATGCATGTCTTGTCTTCCGATCAAGGTCATCAATATTGAAGGTGAATATTGCAAGATTACCGAATATGGAACCTTCGTTTGGTTGTAATAGAGCGTTTTCACATGACGTTACAGCCGCCATGTTGCTGTTCCGATTCAAAAGAATTTTAATTTGACCCTTTTGTCTGGAACACCAACATGGCCGCCATGACTTTTGTGGAGTTGGTCCGAGAAAACGTGTCACGTTTTGGCGTCAAAACATTCAAGAATGCGACTACATTGAACTGCATTCCTATACATGTTGCCGCTATGTCAAACTATTTTTAGCTAATCTCAGCATATTTCTCACATCCCCATATAGTGCCATCCCGAAAAAGTCAATTTTAGGACGTTAGGATTGCGTTCCTGAATGCATTTTTCGACGCCAAACAATCCATGGTTTTGGTAAAAGTCTGAACCAGAAGGTAGCAGTATTAACCGAGTCATTCAAATCCCCGCAATTTGCCCATACTAACTCGGGTGCCCGTGGTAAAAACCTGTCCCATGCAGGGTAAATCCAAGGCCTCAAAATGGAAATGTCTGTGCAGATCTAAAGCTCTGACTTTCCTCTTTCAACTCCCGTGTACTGCAAAAACAATAATAAAGCAAGTTACTTACAGCTCTCGATTTTCAATATACACTCTTGAACATCCATAGGAAAACTTTGCAAATACATTTGACAAGCAGCCACTATTGTTACTCTGTGAAGAAATCAAACAAAGACCTGCGTGTAGAGTACGAGATTTTATCTATGCTAATGGCTTACGATTTTACTTGTCAAAGCAAAGGCACAAGGTAGTTTATTAAGGGACAAGAGATTAACTTCCAAGTACTGTGGAGCGATATATCTTATTGTCGATTATTTTAAGATGAACTGCTATACGCATGAAGGTACACGCTATACGCACTTGAATGCTAGCTAACAAATGACGCTACTATTAGAGTTGGCTATTATGCACGGTAAATTTCAAATGTATTGGAGCAATTAGACCATTAGAGTTATCTGCTATGCATGTACTATACTGTCCCAAATAGCTAGGCCTAGCTCCTGCCCTCCTTAAAATCCATCTATCAAGATCGTTTAGAATATTACTGACATGTATAATACATCAAAACCATGCATTACCTCGCACTATAATACACTCCTCCATCAATAGAAATGACTGCCAACTGATTTTTCTCGTGCAGTGTAAACTGGTTGGAATTAGGAACATAAGTATCAGGTGTCCATATTCTCTCCGACACTTCTTCTCCTTTTAATGATAGAGTGCCTGCGACTTTATGTTTTAATCTTGGGTCTTTCCAACGTTGAATCAGGAACACGCTTGATGTAAATTCCTGTAAGGAGAGTATGTTTGAAGTTTATATCACGACATTCGTGCTTAATATCAGACTTCCTGCTAATTTGGTTTAATTTTAAAATAAATCATCGTTAACGTTTATTTTCGAGCAAATTATATTCACAACCCAATGTTTCGACTTCTGACCATAGCCTATCGAAGGGAAGATGGCTGTGAAGCTCATTAGAATAACAATATAACTCATTATCTATGTTAGTCAACGTTTATTCATAAATCTGGTCGTTTCACCGTCACGTGTGTATTGTATTTTTACCGAATCCACCAATAGCAATTTCCAGTTTCCCTATTGTTCGAGTCACGGATAGGTGACTTTCCTAAAACATTGCTATTGGTTAGTTGGGCAAGAATACAATACACACGTGACGGTGAAGGACCAGATTTATGAATAAACGTTGACCAACATAGATAATGAGTAGTATAAGTTATATTGTTATTCTAATGAGTTTCACAGTCATCTTTCCTTCGATAGGCTATGCCCTGACGTATCCACTAAAGCGGAGTGTCGAAACGTTTGGGCCGTGAATGTACTTTGTTCGGGGAATTCAGTGGCGTAGCGCTCATTGGTTAGGGTTAGTTCAAAAACTAAGAGCCCCCGACAGTTAGGGGCCCCATCAGCCACGGTCTATCGCCCAAAAAATTAGAAAATGTAAAAAATGCAGGTTAAGAATAAATGGGAAAATTCGAAATTAATAATGCTAAATAATCAAGCCTCCATCGACGACGGTAGCTGATTTTTTTATTCCGACTCAAATTAAACAAAAGTTATTCTTAAAAGTTGTTACACAAGTTGGAGACTGTTATTGTCATTGTTATAGACACGGAATTTTCCAGAACATTCTATAAATGTTCAATATAAATATAATATCTCAGTCAAACAATGACAATAGGGGCCCCCACACCGAATATGCCTAAGGGCCCCCTGTTCCTCCGTTACGCCACTGTCGGGGATTCTATAGTTATTAAACAGTATTAACGAAATCTATTTGTCAATGTGAACAAAGAGAATTTCAGGGACTTCAACCAATACTGAGTTATCTTTTTATGCAATCCAAAATCAATTCTGTTTCACTTGCCATGGTTGATTCTTTGATATCTTTAAATTGTTGAATCTGTCCAATCACTTCCACTCTAACAGGTTTTTCTAGATTATAAACACAGACATAGTTACAATCGAGGTGTTATTCACTTAGGGAAAAAATCTCATGAAAATATATGAATGTAACGCGACTTCCTGCTAATTGCAAATCGGAGAATTATAATAGCTGATTTCAAGCTTTATTTTTAACACAATAGATATCCAATGTAATATTCAGATTAGTGGTAACTCACTTTGTGCAAATGGTCGAGTGCGTATATCATATACGTTTTCATTTAAGATATCCTTCAAAATATTTGTTGCATTTGCAGCCTCCCGTCTGTCAACAACGTCATTCGTGGAAATTACGGCTGCCCTGAAAAGAAAACGTGCTCAGTGTGGAAATTACTGATAATAAACTACGTTTCTTTCCCCGAAAAGGAAAGAAAAACAGTTGAAAAAGAATATTTAATTTTATGTGACAATTATTTCAGTAAAAACTTACTTTTCTCATTGCATACTGTATTTTCCTTTATTCCCTGGGCTTATTTTTTCCTGTGGTTCTGGACTGGGGCTAATTAGAATTGGGGGATAGATAGAGGTTGGGGGCTAAATAAATTTTCATGTTCTTTTAAAAAATATCAAGTTACAGAATCATCATTATAGACGTCTTTAAGCAATAACATCGGCGAATGTTATATACACAGCATTATCATTGGACGTTGTAGTACGTTTGTGCATATTTCAGTCACTGCGTATTTCAATTCTCAGCGCTTCTAAACTGGGGATCAATTAGAAGAGGGGGACTAATTCGAGGAAATACGGTACTAATACAAATAAAATAGAAAATAAAAATTAAAAAAGATGTTTTACCCAGTTACATGTGAAAAACACAGTCCAGCACAAATCACAACTAGTAACAGCTTCACTTCCATTGACCTGAAATTAGTATATATTAAATCATATAACTTTGAAAACGTCATACAGCATGTTTCCTGGCCTGCTCAATATATTTTTTAATGAACTGTAAACATCTTTGGCGCAGTCTCAAAATCTTGGGTATTTGGATTTTGGAACCAAACATGTCCTTGTTTTTTAAATACAAGGACGCATGCATGCTGACTCAATCCACCACAAATTAATCTAGTTCTCCGTATAGCTAATATAAACGCGCTTTTGTTAATATGTTATTGATGCAAGTAGCATGATTCATATAACTAAAATGGGGGTCCAGTATTATTCTACATAAACTACTATCTAAATAGTAGATTGAGAAGACGTTTACGCCCTTCCAGACGATAGACCATCGTTGGGATGACGTTTTCCTAATGCTAACCTCCCAGACATCAGAAAATCTCTGGACCCAGGGTACTGTTTCACAGAACTTCTAGCAAAGTCATTAGCCATTCCACACACGAAGCAGATGGCTGTGAGAGCTTTCATCTCAATTAACTTCTACAGGGTGTCCCAAAAAAACGTCCCCTATAGAAATCACTCTTTTGTTGTTAAGCGTGCGTTGTTATACCTCTGAGAATTCAAAATAACTTCTATAGCTTTAAAAAAGCTGACAAAAATGTCAAATTACAAATTCGTCTTACAGTCAGTTCAAGTAAGAATGGTTCAACTGACTATAGAGCAACGAGTATTTGTTGTAACAACTTAAACGTTAACGCAAAGTGTAACTGGACATATTTGGATGTAGGGAAGTTGTAAATACTTCCGCCGTTCATGTACAATTAAATTAAATTCCCAAAGGCATAATAACGCATAAGAGTGATTTCTAAAGGGGGGCTGTCTGTAATTATGAGTTCTATTTAATGAGACGAAAGCGGTCACATACAGCGAATTCTTTGTGCGAAGCCTGGAAGGTGAAAGTTGCATTGTGGGCGTGGATTTTGAATTCACCAATGCCAAAAGCTCCTCCCTGCTAAAAAATCTAACATGTCATGAAATATACACAAATGTAAATACCACCAGTGTAAACCTGATGTTTTTCCAGAAAGTATTGTTAAGACTGATAACACTTAAGTAAGATATTGCTGACAATGGTGAAAATAACTCATGAATGTTCCATGCAGTCAGTCACAGTATTTATAGGATGAAACAGATATAAATTTTTAAATTTGGGTACTCATGGATAATGAAAGAAATTCATTATTAATTATAACTTAATAAACGTGTTCCCAACAACTCGTAAATGAAAACTAGTATTAATTAACTCACTACAATACGACTTGGTATTACTACACCCCAAAATTCCGTCGAACTTGATGTGTGATTATTAGGTATAGAAGTAGTCTCCATTTAAGTTTTGATGTTGAACTCTTTAAAAACATTTTTGGATATGATATTCAGTTGAGAGTGCAAAGAGTAACGTACACACACCTACTATATAATGAGTATATTTAGACGCCATTGAAAAATTGACATCTTAATTTCTTTCTGTGGTTAGTTTTGTGATGTCACAAAGAATTTCCAATTACTTTTAGTTGCAGTATCATATATACCTTTTTCTGTTCTATTATTTATTAGTTTTCCGCCCACACCCAAAACAAAACGAAGAAAGTAGCAGTTCATACGAACAAAAACATGTAAAGACTAAAGACGTTGATTTTCTTTTATGTGAAACTCAAAAGGGTAATTTAGAAATAACTTAAGGTGGTACTGGCATATGATAGTTATGAATTATATATTCAACCACCGGCTGACAACACATGCAAATTCAAAGCAAAACAAATTGAGTTATAATGGGCTGCCGTTTGTGTTTGAATTACCTGAAAAAGATATAAAGCACTTCGAGGTTTCCAGCGAAGAGTCCTCGTCAGGAATCAGTAGATGGCTAGTTACCTGACGAAGTCTATCGTTTGTAAAGTACAAGTATTTTTAAACTTTTTTAGGCATTTTTCAGAGCCAAACCGCGGCAGCTTATTAAGTGTAGAAATTAGACACTACGCTGTCACTGGACCCCTGCATGCATCTAAAATAATATAAGTGGAATATGCAGCGTATTGTGACCACAAAGTGAATGTATAGACAAAACGACAAAACATAAGTACTGTAATTTGTGATACTTTGCCTTAAAATACAAGATCGTGAAGTCGCACATGCATTAAATTGCATATAGAATATTATATAGGTATTATTAGCCTATATATAACGTATGCTCCGTAAAATTTAAATTTAGAATTGTAATTTGAAGACTAAATGAGTACGTACTAGTAAATTCATTATTCGGACATTACATTGACAATATTACATTTAGACAATATTATATCAACGAGCATGGGAAATTGGACCCATGAAACCAGTCAAAAGTTCGAAAGTTTTCAAATAGATTGTTAAATATATATCGAATTCTTGCTCGTGGAAATCAGATTTTAACCACGTTTAATTATCAACACTAACGCAACATCATTTTTCACATAGGAAGGTAAAATTTATGACAAGATCATGTTTTATTACACTAGAATATTCCCAAAGTAAGGTCTATCTTTACAGCTTGGCTTATGACTATCGTACCTGTTTTCAACGATACTTCCTATAATGACCCTTATCATTAAAGGTGTATATACAAGACCTCGCTTGTTGTGTTTTTAATTTTTTATCAACTTCTTGAAACAAAAGCATCTTAGTTGAAAATAACCTGACTTTTGTTCCTTGTGGCATGCCTGACTTACCCACAAATTCCTGTTTCTTTTGAAACAACACCACTTTAAATCTTGCCTTTTTTCGTTTTTCCACCAAATCCTCAGTATGCGTCACTAACTATAGGAGGTATCTAACATCTAAATTTTGTCGTCAATCAGTCTGTTTCATTGCAGCTGTGTGAACCACGTTCATTGGCCTGACTTATTCTGTGGTTTTGGACCACAAATTTCAATTCAATTTGCTATGCCATGATTCCTTTAGATCCTGGCCGACTTTTATGTCTTATTTATGCTTTATTAATATTTGATTACGTTGTGCAAGATCATCACACATCATTTATTCTTTCTGGACTTTTTTGGGCATTTCTGTTAATTTGGAGTTCACCGGAAGATGGCATATTGATTAATACATAATATATTTGGATATGACGTTTTCGTCTATTGTCGAATCAATTCGAGCCTATATATACTGCCAGTAATCTGAGCAAGTAACAAACTTTACTGTTTATTGCACTTTTGATCCGATGGCCTCGTTTTCATGTGTGCCTCTTTTGGCGCACATGAAGGTTATATCCCCATGTTTCTGGCACGAGTATGTTTCTCTTTGATCTTGACCACAATCCTAACCTTAAATCTACTCTGCACGAAACATGAGGAAACAAAAACCACATGAAAACGAGGCCATTGGAGCAAAAGTGCAATAAACAGTGTCTACTGAATTGAATCACTTTACTATGATCCACTTGTTTCTTGAACAAGGTTGTATACATCTTGATCGTTTCACAGGACAATCAATTCGTAATAAAACCTGATTGTGTTGAAAAATGAAAATCATGAAGCCGGAAGTGAATCGTTGCTTAGAAATATATTGCAGGATTTGTTTGATATGTTAAAATAGTATAGTTATATAGCATTTTTTAAGTTTGAAGATGTTTTATTAAAAAGCACTGGAGATATATTCCCTGTATATCTTGTGTTTTAGTAAGGCTGATTTGTATATTGTTGCTAGGCAACGGTATAGTTTAATTTTCTACGAACTGATCATATCAGTTACTTTATATTAATATAAAATATTGTAATTCAACGAATCAAAACCGGTGTATGTGGGTTAGTGGAGTTTTTCAGCTTTTAGCCAATCAGTAACCATGTTGGTTGACTTTGTTAGGCTTCAGTTCCAGCAAAACAGTGGCAGGAATATATCATCTGATTCCTTTACCGTACGGGCATAGAACGTCACTGCATTGTTACTCAGAGTCTTGCAACTAGACTCTACATATGCTCGCTGTCTCTCAATACGAGATTGTGTATTCTGCCATGTGCCAGACCTAGGTTCCTCAATGTGGGACCTGATTACCACTCACTGCTGCTTTCCATATTATCGACCATACCATCCTGTTGCATACCTTGGAATCTGACTTTGGAGTCGTGGGCAATGTCCAGAAATGGGTTGCTTTTTTATTACGAAGAGAGCAGCGCATTGTTATTGATCAAACTCAATCAAAAGTGGGGAACTCCAAAGGTTAAACCAGAACCAGTTGCTTTGGAACAGTAGGCTACTATTTCTTCTCTATATGCTTCGGAACCATTTAAAATCGGATCGACACACAACTACACCTCTCTTTTAAGCTCATCACACAACTATGTACCTCTCTTTTAAGCTTACATCTTTGTCTTCCAATAAAGATACTATAGAACCTCGTTAATTACACATAGATTGTTTATTAATGACACCAAGATTGAGTTTTGATCATCAGTTCTGGATCGCAGCTGCATAGCTATAAGCGACTATATTAACGCTTATCGATGTTGGTGTGTCAACGATCATGTATTCATGCCTGTAGAATCTGCGCAATCTTGTGGAGTTTCGTTCAGTAGCCTATAATGTCATTAGTGAGGTTTAGATTTGACTTCCCTTACCACTACCGTGACCATAAAGAAACCATTAATCAATCAGATGCATTTAATCTATTTTATTTTATTTTACAGATTTTGCCATTTAACACAAACTATATTACCCAAAATTAGTTACACAATAGATTACATGGCTGGAATTACCACACAGATTAGTTCTCCAAAATACCACACAGAGATTAGTTCTTCAATCTACGCGATTAACCAATCACATGCGTACTTGTCAGTAAAAGGTAGCGGCAGTCAAATCTAAACCTCACTATTGAATGTCCACGTTGGGAAGGTTTGTAGGTATGTAGGCATTGCGTAGTTTGTGCAATATTCGTCAAACTAGAAAGTTTTTAAAATATACTTATTCATGCTTTAATCACACCGCATCTTGGTTACTGCAACAGAGTGTTTACTGGTACTGTGGACTTCAATGATCTTGTTTCTTGCACTTCACTTGGTGGAATTAATATTAGAATGCTGGTTTTAGGGTTAGTAATCCAAGTGAGTATATATACACTTGGGCGGGTATTTTCGTTGCCATTCGATATGGTAGTTTTAGAATTTCTCGTATACCTTTAAGGATGCTGTAAAGTCCGTAATATAAACAAACGCTTTGTTTACATTAACTGCTATATTTGTAAAATATGATATACTAACTGAATATCTAACACCTTTCTGGTTCGCTATGCTTGTAAATGAATATAAACTCTACGTTTCAATTCAAAAATGTTAGAAAGATGCAAGATTTGGGCAATGGGGGTCCCTCTTTCTATATTTCGTTCTTAATAACTTTAAATTTATGATATATTCTAAATTTCTTGTAGATATGTATCAGTCTTATAGCCTATATGCTAGCAGTATACTGAAGCTTAAGAGCTACAGCGAATAGACTGGTATACCTTGAGGATAAGATTAAAAGCAAGCTCATGCAGTGACAGAGTATTGTTGAACGAAAAACCTTTTTCCGATAAAATCTATAAATTTCGACATTCACCAGTTTTTATTATTATTTATTCATACTATAATTTTATTATTTTAATTATTATGGTTAATATATTATTATTATCATTAGAATTATTATTGTTTTCACCTATGTCATTACAGTATTTGTCTTCTTCAACATTCTCTTATTCTACATGGCTAATGAATATAAATATACACTTTATATTTTCTTTTTTATAACATCTGTTTTGTTTAAGCATTCCTGCCATTTTATGGCTGTCATCAGCAGAAAGAAAAATGTCGCAAAAAGAGATCCCATGCAATTCGAAAAAAAAATTAAAACATCCAGGTTGTTGTTCATGATATCGAAGAGGCAACATAAGCCACTTGGTTGAATAGAAACATTCATTACTTTCAATTAAGGGGCGGTTTCCTGTTGACAAGCTGCCACAGAGAGTAACAGCTCTCGTTAGAAGTTGAACATCGTGTCCGAGCCGGGTTTCTCCGTGGTGAAGTGACCGAGATATGCGAAAATGAGGACGAGGGTAAAACCCCCGCTGTTATAGATCTTGTTCTCCCAGTGGATGTCGAGTGGATACCATCAGAAATACCATCGCCATTAAAATATACCGGATTGCAAGAAATACATAATTATAAGTGTCTACGCAAAAGACGTCCGATCCCGAGTTTTTAGAGCTAAGAAATATCCCAAAATCATAATTTACAAGATAAAGCAACAAGATCAGTCATATATGTGAAATACGCTCACACTTCAGTTGGATGCGAGCAAACCCCAGTACATGATGTTCACGAAAGCGAACAATACTGGAAAGAGAATGCGACAAACACGATCAATTATGTAACTCCAGGAAATCTGGCAGTTGGATTTATACAGAACAGATTTTGATATACACTTGGGTAACACAAATGAATTGCGGCTCCGACGGTGCAGGTCGTTGTGTGCATATCCTGTGCGCCGTGTTTCACCGTTTTCGTCGATCAAACAAGGAGATGTTGCTTCTTGTTGTTTCACAGAATCCATCTTGACTGAATCCTCCTAAATAAAAGAATAGAAAAACATTAACCAGAAGAGGACGTTGAGATCGAAAGGTTACAAAAATACTACTTTTGTCCATCCACAGAGTGACCTGGCGTTTCGCATTTGCATGCCCAACAATTTTAACTAGAAGTTTGTCGTTGGAACTAAAAATGGTAAGCTTCACTCTGTATACCACACCATATCATTCCATACAACACCATGCATACCACACCATAATATACCATACCACCAAACCATACTAAGACATCCATACCGCACACCATGCGATGCGATACCATACCATACCATACCATACCATACCATACCATACCATACCAACGATGCCATATCACACCAGACAAGAGAAGGAGAGGGGATGTGATGTTTTACCGTCTGCTAAATATGTGGCTAGCTTGAGCTCCTCAAAAATGAAGTAATATCTTACCCTCATAGCATTGTTGGGCTTGTATCCCTCAGTGACTTTAGCTTTTCTCTCTTCGTTTTCATTAAGCATGTCATCAGAACGATAGAATTTGAAAACAACGAGAGACTCGACCAAGGTGGCAAACACGAACATGAAACTTGTGATGAGATACCAGTCTATAGCTTTGGCATAACTCACACGTGGCATGTAGGAATTGTTGGTACCAAGTAGGAAAACTATCGTAAGAATTGTTGTGATACCTGAAAATAAATGGTAATCGTCTTTTGAATATATAAATTGGAAGGAAGAGCAATCGGCTGGTAGTATATTGCAGCCACGACAGTCACATAATGATGTCTCAAACCTAGTTAGCATAGCAAAACATAGGCATGAACGGCATTAAATGTGTAATATCTACAAAATGTATGAAAAACTGGATCCTTTTTCCTGACGTAGAGTTTGGAAACAATAAATGTGTTTGCATTCATTTGGAAGCTTAGCCGTTTCCAACGGCGGGGAGTTTATTAGTAAACGTGCACTACGGAATGGGTGTAAACTGGCGTTAATACTGGAGGACAGGGATTGTTTTTATGATTTGATGATTGGATTCAGGCGTGTGAAATAAATTACACAGCCCAATATCCTCTAAAAAGTTTTTCCAATAATCTTGGTACTGTCTTTCGTGTGACAATAACAGCATCAAAGAAGAATTTCCCACATGGTTATGATATTACATTGCTAATTATAGACGGCATCTAAAACTGTCCTATAAAAATTTCCCCTACAAAATATTCCTGTGTTGTTTAATTAATGACTAACAGATATTTTTTTAATCCATGCAAATTTTGATGGAATCAAAACAGGAGAAAGCAGTGAATCAACTAAGTTTATCAACTAGCCATTTAATATAGCTCGCGCCTAACTTTTTCCTATAAAAATATCTCATATGAAAACTTATCTTCTTTTCTCTATTTCTACTATCACAAATGTACACGGCTTACCTAACGATACTCTGTCCCCAATGTCTTTTGGATCGATATAAAATGATAACCAACTGAGAATAGTGATGATTAAAGATGGAAGATAAACTTGAATAAGATAAAAACCCATCCGACGTTCGAATCTGAATGTCGCCCTCAAACGAGTATACTTTCCTTTAGTGACAAGAAAGGACAGTTATTTCTATTTGATACGCATTGGATTTTAAGATATAATCATAGGGGGCCAGAAACATTTTGCCAGCTTTGTTGGGTTTTGCCCGACCCATCAAAACAAATTTTCTCTGCTAAACTTTCTAAATTCTTGTCGGAGGGGAGGGGGGGGGGGGACAAAATATTTTCGGTAGGCTTAAAATTTTTGGTTACATTACCTATTTCTTGCGATTTCGACTATTATCTTACATATTTCTTGCTTTTCAATTTATTTCTCTGATCTTTTGCCCAACTTGTTTAAAATTTGCCCAAGTTCAGAGGGAGGGGGCAGCTGTCCCCCCTGTCCGTACGCTTGTACACGTGCGATTACCAATAAAGAAAGGACGACAACATGAATTAGTGATGTATCGATTTAGTGGAGTAAATTATTATTATTATTAAATTCGTCACAAATGTTTAAACTGACACTCATATACATGACATGTTACAAGAAAACGTACGTGACTGGGATGAGGAGCAGGACTTTCGTCGCAATTAATCACCTCACCACTTATAACTAAGCATGACGTTCTCAGTACATATGAAGAAACGAAGGCCTGACACTGACCTGATTGTAAATTTAACCCTAATTCTAACTGAAAGAAAGAAAATAATAAATAGTACTTATAAACAATTATATATACTGTGTTTCTACTTCACTAAATTCACTCCTTCGTTTGCTGCCATTTTCCGGTGTGGTTAATTTGCCACCGAAAAATGGCGGACAGTCCTGGTCACTGTACTGGTCCTGGTCGCATGGCGTAAGAAAGGTTAATTATGAAATTCTGGTTGAGAGATGAAAGACACATATACGTTGACGATTGTACCATCAACAACATCCTCACCTGCCTTGTACGTGACATTTTCATTCGTGCAGGAAATATCAGCAATTTCAAACTCAGCCATTTGTGTGTTTATTACAACCAGCGGTTGTTTTGTTTTATTCCACGCCAGTTGCATGTGTTCGGTTGGATAGGCATCTAAAAAGTATTACAGTAGAGAACACAAAGTGGTTATTAAAATATGGTGATTCCTATTTGCACTGCATGAATTCACGCCCTGTTGATATTTATATAAGAAGGAGATCATTTACCTAGCAACCCTGTAGACCATGTATATAGTTTATGTACTTAAAACAATCCATATAGACTTATATAGTCTTAAATGTAACTACTCACAACTTTCAATTCTCAATTCACACTCTTGAATATCCATGGGAAAACTTTGCAAATACATTTGACATGCAGCCACAATTTGTACTCTATAAAATACAAAATACTGATTATCTTAAAAAACTGATTGCTTTTTTTCTACGTGTATACTTTATTACAGCTGACCATTAGCATACATGTTCCTATACCATTGCAACATGTGGTGTAGACTTATGTTTTGAATTACCTTGCACTATAGTAGACTAAGCCATCTTTCGAAATGACAGCCAACTGGTTTTTGCCATTCAGTGTGAATTGGTTAGAGTTAGGGACATAAGTGTCAGGTAACCAGATTCTTTCACTCACTTCGTCACCGTTCAAAGAAAGTATTCCTGTAAAGTTATGTCTCAGCCTCGGATCTTTCCAGGTTTGGATTAGAAAGACACTTGAAGTGAATTCCTAAAATATGGAGGGAGCACGTTAAGAGAAGCTGGCAGGATTATAAAAAGAAATATGGGAGTTTCAAAAGAGCAAGGTTTTAAATTATCTGTGGTAGTTTATTAGTAATTATTTTTGTGGTGGGTTTTTTTGTTGTTGTTCATTTTGTTGTTTTTTCGGGGTTATTAACATCATGCAAATGATATATATAGGTATATAATTTGCAAAGCCTCGCGGTCAAACGAGGATGAGGTGCTGACTAGAGTTGGCATGCAGTCATGCATTGTGTGTGTGTGTGTGTAGGGGGCTGACTCTTGTGCACTCTCTTCGTCGTTTGGTCTGGGCTTAAGTTAGTTAAGTTCCGAGTTTTTTCAAATGTAAATTAGGTTAGTATACCGGTGCGGAATTTCACCCTAATTACGTCAGGACTTGCTTATTGTAATGCTATTTTGAATGGGCTTCCAAACAAGTTATACAGTTTCCAGAAGATGGCTGCTAGATTATTTGTTAGAACAAAAGTACCATACTACACCAGTATCGGAATTCGGAAAGACCCTATATACTGGTTACTACTAGACCCTATATACTGGTTACTACTATACTAGTGAACAAGAAGATTGTATGCAAAATGTTGTTGTTTGTATTTACCGATATATAGGTGTCTTGGTGTCTACATACAAGGAATTGTGCCAGTGCATGTACTTTCTAGAATTGCTGCATGTTGTCCCAAAAGTTATAAGAAGCTAGGTGGACAAAGTTTTAGAAGATCGCCCCATCATATGGCACTATTTACGGACCAATCTAAGACGGTTTTGTTTGAATTACAGTAGATAACAATTTTAGCCTGATATAAGTAAAGGGCTTTAGAGTATTGCAGATTTAGCGCGCTACAGAAATCGTATATATTTTTGTTAATATATATACCATGGTGGATTCTTTGATATCTTTGAATTGTTGGATCTGTCCTGAAACTTGCACTATAACAGGTTGTTCTAAAACAGAGATTTAATGATAAAAAAACCAAATCATCGTCGTTGGACTGATCGCATCTTGCAAGGACGGTCTAAATGGTATACAAGTATAATTATAATGTTCAGTGTTATCTCATCTTCTTCTAAGTGTTTAAATTTTTTTAATTTAAATGTTACAAAAACTTTGTTATGTTGGTTTCCATTTAGTCCTGGTTTCCATTTACGGTCCTGGTTTCCATTTAGTCCCGTAACGGTCTCTCGACCGTTGTAAGTTGGCCGATGTAATAGTTTGCCGATATACCGTACTTATTTATTCGCTTAATTGCAGCACACAAAAGACGAGATTGATCGATCTAAACTACTTAACATCATCCAACATGGATCTATGGTTATCACATAGACACTTTCATATTTAATTGGCTCAGAAACGTTTGTCGTATCTAGCGACGAAATACTCAGAACAACAAAACAAAGAGGGATCATGAAGTAGATGATGGAAATGGACACGTGTTTATAGAATGCATGGAAACTAACAGTTATTGCTCTCTCCTCCGCACAACTTTCCGCTATACCGAGAGAGGAATGCAGGCGCAGAGTAGACGTGTAACAGCATTGACCGAACTGCTTGGAGAATAATTGTGCAGAAGGAAAGGAATTAATGTGGTGGGAGATATTAGAACGAAGCCAAACATGTAGGCAGAAACAGAGGGAGAGAGTGCCCTGCAGGGGATAGGTGAGGTAAAGTGAGTTCTCACAATTAACTGAATTAAGTGATGTACTTAGTGCCAAAAAAAGTAATGTTTAATGCTATTGAAGTATTGTAAACCTCTTGTTCATGCCGTAATAGTTTAAATACGAGATAGGACTTTGCCGGCATTTCAAAGAACTGACTGAGTGACTGTGTGCCAGTTAGTTTTAACTTATTATAAATTAATGAATAATGTACGAGAACTTTGAAATGCAGTAAAGTCCGAATTCGTATTTGAACTGAATTACTTCTCAAACGTTGTACTTTACATAGTTTCAAAGTACTAGGATTGTTACGGTCCTGTAGAACGTCTTCCTCTACGTTCAAAACACTAATTAAATATTGATATTATTTTTGGTTCATGAATCATCAATGAGTTTAAGAAGGATTATTCTAATTTTGTTAAGAATTTGGGATTTTAGATTAAGAAACCAATTTTCGAATACACGTCTCCAAAATGCTAACATTGTCATTCGGAATCATTTTCAATACCTTCGGTGTATGCATAAATGACAACATATCTAATAAGCAATTTCTCAGCGTGCAGCTTGTGCAGCCTTACTTTGTACATTAGGTCTCGTGCGAATGTCATATTCATCCAGTAGTTCATGTAAGGTCTCCGTTTCCGTTGCAGGCTTCTCTCTCTCCACACTTTCAAACGTAAACCTGAAAAATTTTTAAATGTTTCTCAAAAACTGCGTGCTTCAGTCACCTTTGACAATGAACAGAAAATCATGGATTCTCTACGGGTGTTCCGGTTGGCTGTTTCCTCCCACAGAGAAAGTTGACAGTACAGGGAGGGTTAGCATAAAAACAGTTAAAAAATAATATCACAATTCCGTGTATACCAGAGATACCTGGTTGCCATGAACTCACAAACTTTAAAAATAATCTATAGGCCGAAGTATGTTTAATTGGGTAAGCGCAGTAATTGATGTAAAGCGCATTTGATCATATCCACATTTAAATTTGCGCTATAGAAGTGTTAATCGTAACTGTAGTTTAGGGCTCTAAAAACGTAACCACTTGTTCCAAAAATGTAACCTTGTGATCAATAGTGATCTGGCTTAGCCTAGGCTTCCAACCCAAAATTTCGATAAGCATTGATCCTGCTGATCTTTTAACTTATGTATGCATCATTTTTGTCTCTTAAGTTTGAACGCATTTTTATTTTATATTGTCAGCGAATCAGTATAATTCTGTTCAGTAAACGCGTGTGCTATGTCGCCTATGTCTTATTTGATGATGCATGTCAACGATTTACCGGTGTGAAAGTGTCAAACCCTGCAGATACGGTGGCAATTTAGGCAAAACGACTTGATCAAGACATTATTAAATACACTGTAATTTAATAATGGTCAATAATATTCATCTCCAACTGCAAATTAAGATATTGTCTATGCAGGCCAATCAAGTGATAATGATATAAATACGTAGAGTGCTCTATATGATAGTCGCTTCTAAAAAGCCAGATTTACCCTTGGGCTATCACACTATAGAAACACAGCCCAAAACAACCAACAGATAATATCAACATCTTCATAGATATCTCTCTACAAGAAAGAACAGAGAACATTTAAGATTCCAGACTTGGTCACCTTGGTTATTTTGTTCGTTTAAAGCTAAATTTTCTTATTATTACATTATATACAAGCAATCAAAAAGCAATTGCTTCCAAATTGTCTCCTACTGCTAGTAAATCTTATTCTATACAATGCCAGCCTTCTATATTTGTACGAAATCAGCAACGAGGCCGACACGAACGAGTCACGACATACGAGCAGGGACATAGCGAAGACTATCGTTTAGGGTGTAAGCGCCCAAATCATACTTGTATATATAATTTTAAAATTACGTTTTACGTTACCTAAAAGAAGTGCTTGAAATTTAGTGTGGTTTTCTCATGGGTAGAATCAAATAGCAGGTGTTTCTTTCCAAAGAATATTTTAGCACAATGGGATGCGGGACTAAATCTATTACGGAATGCTCCACAGAAAAAAGGAATATTTAGACAATCAGCCGAACTAAAACTTGGCATTCTTACTTTTAACATCCACGTTTCCTTGTCAATCAAATGCCCTTAAAATTTACCTGAAAATCAGCTTCAATCACCTATAAATTTACCTGAAAATACTCATGAACAAATATTGGGGGTGTTACACCCCCGGTCGCTACATCCTTGTATACGAGTATACGGCTTCCCCTGGCTTCAAATCAATCCGGTTTGCCGTTGATTTTGGTTAAGAGGATCGCGCGTGGAACATGTGCATTTCCTTCTCACTCCCTCTTCAACACTTCCCGGATTTGAGAATGGCGAAAAGTGCGCCCCCATCCTCCCCATAGCCTGCATCGCAGACGCCCGCATTTAAATCAGACGAAATATATTAATTGTTAACGTTTGCAAGGCATGCTGCTGTTGCATAGACAATACTGAGAATTAGTGTCTAAGACGTCGCTGTGGAAGTGCTTATAGGTTTCTGTCCAACTTCGTCCAAATAAATAAACGTTTGTTTTGAGTGAAAATAATTCGTTTGTTATATATAGCTATACACAAATGGAAACACAAAAGTGAATTTTTAGTGTTTGTGATTCATTCTTAGGAAATGTTGTTTTTGTGCCTTTAATTGTGCTAATATACGGAGAACAAAAACCGTTCATGAAGATTCGTCTCAACCGCCGCCATCCATGGCTTGCCACATTTTCATAACCGGTCGTAGCTCCAATGTTTTGTCATCTTCACCTGTTCGCAGGCGACACAGCATCGTCGGCCAAATTTGGATACACAATACCAAAATCATATTTTTCTCAGGCCAGCAATCAACGTGCAAGCTGAGAAGTGGTATACCAAGCGGTCTATCAAAGAAAACTCGACTGTGATTTTTAAAGACGTTTAATTAGTCATCATAGTGTCAATAAAGACAGCTTTATAAGTTTAGAAATACCGACGTTGTTGGCAGCCATGCTGCGTGGTTTGCATGCAGTTTCCTGCCTGTTTCATATACTCATGTAAAAACGTTCAATTTGTTACAACAGTCGGTTATATGCAAGATAGTTCCAACCTTGAGCTTCTTGCTCTCTGCTTGTTGAAACTGTGCAGCAGACATGTTGCAAGGCTGATGATTGTTACAGGTTGTCCCGACAACTTGTATGTCCAATAACTTAGTTACAGGTTGTTGGTTACTATACTTTGGGGCAATTTTATAAAATAGCATCAATCCTGAAACTTTGTAAAAAGCTTGCTACGAGACTCTTTCGAACGCCTTTTCAAATGAGTTCTATAGAAATGAATATATTTAGGAATTGCTTGGAATCATCGGGGTGTGGGGTCAACTCTAAGACCGTTAGTGGGTTCGACTCCCATTTAGCATTCAAAACATTGCTGCAATGTTTGAAAGTCTTGAATGAAAGAATTAGTTGTCGTGCTCTGCTGAAATTCTGTGTTTTCTCAATTTGAGTATTCCGGTTTCCTCTGTTAGAAAAAGGTTGGTTAAGAAATATAATGCAATCTTTATTGAAATACAACTAACTGAAAAATATAAGCAGAACTTCGACGTTTGGAGCGAAAAGTTTGAAGCGAAAAGTTTGGAGCGAAAAGTTTGGAGCGAAAAGTTTAGTAGTAACTTCTCGACGAAGGGCCTTCGCTCGAAACGTCGAAGTTTTGCTTATATTGTCAAGTTAGTTTCCTATAAAGATTGCTGTTTGTTCTCATCACTGCTTGTGCTGGCACAGATCATTCGAGATTTTAAAAAGCATAGTGACTGCAGTTGAATATATATGTTTACTCTTATTCGCTTCGTTCACTCCTCTTCCGTTTTTTGGGGTACATTAATTGCGCATGCATGAAAACTATTACCGTAATACAGCGCCGCAAAAGTAGTACATATAGATACCTAGTATTGATTGGAAGCAATGGCGAAGGCTTGACATTTTATCTTCTAATCTATACATATAATTAGATGTAAACTGATATCTTCTAAACACATTCTAAACATATATATTCTAATAGACATTTCTGCAACTTGTTTTATTCCCTGTGCATCAGTTTTGGTAAATTTAGAGAATCAGCAATATTCTAAGTAAATAAATAGTTAATTTTGATGTTTGGCTTACTAAACTGTGGCAGTCTATGCTTTTCTTCATCCGACTTCTCAGAAGATTCATTTCTCCTCCAGATACAGCCGGACATGAAGCAACATAAGAAATTAGTCAAGTATATAGTTTTTATCATTCAGTCAACATGCTTCTCACCATAACGATTTGTCTGAATTAAACGCTTATTTGGCATTTCGCCAACATGAGAACTTACAGTAATTACAATTTTCCTCCTTCAGCATCAGATCTTCACTCTCTACGTTTTTTAATCTTCTACGTTTCCTTACAAAGAAAGGTTAGAGTCATCTAAAACGTGAATGGGAAAGTATATTTAGAGCCCAAATGGTTTTACGAATACTCTAAATAGTTTCATCAAGTCATCTGCAGAAAAATTAAATAGATGTTGTATCTTTAATTTTTCATTAACTTGTCTCGATAAGTGTCCTAAACAACACAGTAAAAAACTGACTTCCAGTTTTATGTGTTCACTTTTGACTCACCTATAGGGCTAGAAAATCTATACGTGTATCTTCGTTTTTCCCTGTACTAAACTTGTTCAAAAAATTTAACTGTCTCTTGGATTAACCTGACAACTCCGCGTTTTGTTGTCAATATGTCCAAATTCCACCTGTGTTGCGTTATATTCATTGGCTTGTCTTGCCCCGTGGGCTGTCACCGCAAATTTAATTTCAATTTAAGATACGCTATGCATGCATGGATTTCTTGTATTAATTCCGACCTTGATACGTTATTGATGACCTATTAATCTTTGATTTCATTCATGCAATATTATCACATACTACCCCAAAACGTTTCATTCTGACATAGTATTACATTTGTACAACTATACTGTTATGTTCTCATACAAAGTCCATTAATTTGCGTGATTTATTAAAAGAATACTTTTGAAAGAAAGAAACAACGTACATAATTTATTTTATCGTTGATTGTTCTTCTAAAAGCTTTGTTTATTTAATTACTCGTAAACAATACCGAAAGTGTACTTTAAGTCTAACAGATTTAAAAACGTTTTAAAAACCACAACAGCTAGTGCACAGTAATGAAAAAAAGAATAGTAACGAACTAATATATTAACTAAACTAAACGTTTTGTGGAGTATACAACGTTTAAGAAGTATACAGTAAAGTAACTAAACTCAACTGTCAACAGAGTCATTAAAGAAATGGGTTCTTACAAATTAAACATTGCATGTCGGCTAGACATTTTACAACACAGTGATGATCCCTCCTACTGCAGAATTTGTGTGATTGCATTGAATGTTGATCTATATGTACTTGATGGAGTAATAAGGAAAATTTAATTAGGTTTCCAAAACACCATTTATTTTCATTTTCAGTATCATTAAGGGCATAGAAACGTAACGAAATCAACACAAAGTCAAAAGTTGTTTTCTTTTAACATTCAAGCGAGGTGCACCTTATAACTATTTGTCATCTTTTCACCTTTTTACCATCTATTTTGATCGAATGTACCAATGATTCACTACTCACAGTATTTACAAGATTAAATTAAAATTAATACACAACACTTTATTTTACCTTTTTTGGTTCTTAGATGTTTTAACATTTTAAAAAAATGGTGTAGCTACCATTTGAATTCGAGGAGCCATGCTGGGTGCAGTGGGCGGTTTCAAACAAATATATTTTGCAAAATTATTCCTATATATACCCTAACGCTTCTCATATCAACAGTCGAAAACTTGTCCCAGCCATTTAGGGTGAGTTGCTTCCTCCCTTTTACCCCCCTCCCCTCCCTTCCCCTTGACTGGAAGCATTAATTAGTAATGCGCCTGCGAAAGCTGGAAAATGTTTTAACACCACTGTACTAGTAGTTATATGGCAAAATGTATTAGGGATTGCTCGCAGTCTAGGCAAAATGGTATGTAGTAGTTCACTGTATTTAGTAGTATATTTTGATGGATATATTGAATTATCTTCTTTCCTCCTGTGCCTTCTCCAGGTCAAGCGCCTACAGAGTACCACAAAATACCACATCAGCTATAATCTCGTTCCCAGGCTCTTCCTTGGCCGACGACGTCATCCCTCAGATGACCCTAATGATTCGACAGGAAATTTGTTTAAATTAACCGGCATCATTTGCTTGCGTAGCGTAAACTAGAGTATGGAGCGTTTGCACATGACGTCACAGCCGCCATGTTGGTGTTCCAATTATTCAAAATTTTAATTACACTCTTTTGTCTGGAACACCAACATGGTCGCCATGACTTTTGTTGAGTTGGTCCCTGGAGAATGAGTGCGAATTTTCTATAGCGAGCGGAAACATACAGAGTATTTGTATTTATTTGCAACTGTTGGAAAGCATTTTGGAAGCACCTCGAAAAATTGTGGTGGACATGAAAATGGGGAAATGTGGACTGGAAATAATTGTGACCAAAACATTACCAAACGTGCAAAAAATATCAAAAGGCACCTGCAAATATGCGACCCAATTTTCGCTCTTTTATTTATAACATTTATTGAGTATTCTACTATATGACTAAACAAAATAAATATGGCACAGCACATAGGCTATGTTACGAAAATCAAACTGACAAGAGAATAACAAAATTAGTAAATTCACTCAAACGGAAGAGCACAAACGGGACAAGAAGTTCCATGCGAGGTGTTCGTCGTAATGAGTTTGAATATATAACTAAAGGTAGGGCAAAGCCACTAAATGGGTTCTAAATATACAAATGTATGTATACTGTACACACTGCAAACTTTAAGGAGCCAAATCAACTCGGAAAGTGCCACTCTGCAACCAAACAACAGTTCATAAGCGGTTACAGAATAACACCTTCGGAGCTGATTCAACTCCCCGAAATTTAGTAATTTTACACAATGCACATAAGTCATAAACTAAACGCACAGAAGTGTAGACAACAATTATTGATAGCTGGTAGCTCCTATGGCAAGGACAATCACAAGACCACGTACAGTCCATGTCAATGTCATAAACGGAGCTAACTAACGTATCTACGGCAATTTAAAAGAATATGGACAATAGTGAAAATGTCAGGTGACATACTGTGTTCCAGGTCTTGCTCTTCCTCCCTCATGATCTCAAATTCAATTTTGCATTCCATAGTGCATGGCAAGTCCCGCCCAAATGGCTTTGTAGTCACTCGTAAAACTGGTCTAAAAAAGAATTCAGGCTACGGCTGGAAGCACAGAACCCTGAGAAACGAATTACACTAGGTGCATGTAAATGTGTCCAATTACAACGATTTTTTAAATATAACATAATATTTAATTTTCTTGTTTAATAACAAAAAAAATTTCAAACCACTATTTAAAAACGTCGGTATAGTGCAAAGTTAAAATTTTAATTTTTTCGCTTCAGTTGTTTCGTCGGTTCAACAGAGTCTACAGCTCATAAAGTGGGCTACTTTTTATACCCCCAGCTTCCCAAGACTGGAAAACGAGGGTCCCTCTCTGAAACCCAGGTGTACAGCCTCCAGCATTCCAGTTTTCATAACCAAATTATGTATAATCTACAAAAATTGTGTGTGCTAAATACAATCATCATCTTTCAAATATACAGATAAACGAAATTTGTTTTTTGATTGATGAGACTATTTTTGCAGCAAGTTGCATAACTTTAGTTGTTCGCATTTAGGCGTCATAATGAATTTACATATTTTGGACCGCGAGTCATAAAGAAAGCTTAACCAGCTTTTAATTATTTTCGCAATGACGCGCGGCAAGTTTCATTGCTTATAACACCTCCACTGCAACTTGCCTTGCATAGTCAACCAATCACGAAACAGATACGATTACACTGTAATCAGATGATTTTTCCGTGATTTAAATTACAATTTGTGCTTGACTACAGTTATACAAATTAACTAAACATTGCTGTATCTCACAATTATTTATCCTCAATTCTGTCAAGAAAACGATCAATTGCAAATTTTAGTATTATAATTTCTGCTAAGTTCTAACTCGACAATTTTGTTTAAGTCAATTAATGGCCAGTAGTTCATCATGTTTGTCGACATAGGCTGAACTTCCACCTTTAAAATTGTAAGCATATTTTGATGGATGTAATGCACTAGCACAGTAACATCTCCAAGCCATCTTCCCTCCTCCTGCACCTTCTCCAAGTCGGGCGTACAGAGTACCACAAGAAAGAGATGTAGTAAGACCATTGCACCATGCTGATCTTCGAGCGAGTAAACTGTAGCCTGCAATGGTTGGAAAGACATACAGAAATAATTGGATGCAGCTGCATGTAATACTAATACTGCGCAAATAAGTTTGCTGTAACACCTTTAGCGGTCCATTACCAAGTTGGAAAATCATCGTTAAGCCAAGGAGTGCTGTTGCAGCAACAGTCGAGGCAACAGTTTCCATGATTCCTCGAATGCCTCCACATTTGCCCACCCAAATATTTAGTGGGATTGAAATTTGCTTTTCAGAAAACAAAAATTAAAGTGCTATTTTACTGTTTCAGAAGCAATGCTTCCTGGTATGCCCATGTAGAGCGTAAATTGATGAACAAAATATGCATGTTTGTTGAAAGAAGGAAACACGAGGATTAATTCAACGGTCCCTCACCTTTTAATATGATGAATAGATTTCGTTAGTAATGACTAATGGCTATACAACACCGTAACAGTAGTTTATGCACACAGCATTGCGCATGCGATAATCTATTCACAGTAGAGAAGCTTAGGAACAATCAGAGATTACAGAGAGCCCGAGAAAAAAAAACTTGTAGCGGACATCAAAATGAGAACATTAATGTGGACTGGGAATGCCGTACTACTGTACGTCCCAAGCGGCACTGGGGGTCCCCCTTTGTTATGAGCAGAACTGATGCGCAGAACGGAGTGGACATCATAGTTTAAAGGCAGGCATGGTACAATTATAGGAAGGCAATGTACATAGGTTCAATTAATAATTAAATAGGTTCAATTAATAGTTACAATTAAAGATACGCAAGATAGAATTAAACCAACGAATTAAGAACTTCCACATTCAAAGCACAGATATACTATAGAAAGCACAGTTGTGGATGTGGGTTACGGTAAGTTGAGGGTGGAGTAACTTAGGTTCGTGCTTGCCTTTACTAAGTTTAAAGCTGCGGATTGAGCGAGATTACAAAGTATCGTTGAAAGGTCTTGAAAGTTGAAAAATACAAGTAGTTAACATATTATTAGTTAAGTTAGATGAAGACAAAATATTACCTGGCCAGTATATATTGGTACTGAAAACCACAGTTAGATTGCCAACAATATATCCTTGTACATCTCTCCATGCTAGATAGTCTCCATTAATGTTCATAGTACCACTCGCCATAGCTATAATGCTCGCATCTGATTGAAGATAGGACCAAATATTCACACAACTTAATTTACCAACAAATGAACTGGAGTAAGTTCCATCGCTGTTTGAATCTTTGGTGACACCAATTGAAAATTTTCCATGTGGTGAAAGATGAGTCATCGGACCAGATACTGCAGTTGTATCCTGTCTTATTCCTTCGTAGTAGAATTTTACATTCCCTTTTAGACCATTCCAAGTGATACAGATGAAATGCCAGTGGTTATTTACGATACGGTTGTCCGACACAGGACTAATCCAAAAATAATTCATATTATTTTTAATTAAAAATAAAATTATTATTTATTTAACGTCGACTACACAGGTCGCGATTGCCTAATTTATCCAAGCCAGAGGCTCATGATAAACGTGTTCGACAACTAAGACATATTGGCTAATAAACCCACAAAGGGAAGAAGAGAATCAATCGCAACTCTAATTACACAGGTTTCCCGGTACAAGGAAGTTACTCAACCCAACTAGTAAACAATGTACTCTAGGGTAACCATTAAAGATGTGGATCAAATAGGATTACCAATAAAGTTTAGCTGTCCTTCGTTGGGAGGTCTAAATTGAACGTTGCAGTCCGATACATGCAGGTTGGTGAAATATTGATTGGAGAAACCTAACCCACACCCAGCCCCCAACCTTAATCTGGAGTCCGCTTTATTCTAAATAATACTCCAAAACTCAACCACCACTCTAGTCTGCACTGACCAATCTGCAAATTTCACCAGCAATTTAGACCGTCTAGGTTGGTGGTGTTGTGTTTTGTTTTTTTTCTTTTATTTAAACAACATGCATTAAGATCCTTTCCATTTGCCCCCAAAAGGTTATAGCTTATCGTGGGGGATCATGTAAACTTGACAATAACAGTAAAACACATAACACACAACAAAACAAATTACACAAAATCGCTTCAAATATATGCAACACTGAATTGCTCATTTAGTATAATCTTCACGATCTTATTTAAAACGTCCTAGCTGCTTCTTTTATAAATAACCTATACTGCAGCAAAAATTACAGAATTAGCATAAAACCTCAGATTTGGTACACTATTCAGTAATGCATCCACTTGTTCAGATAAACTAAGCAACAGTCGATCAGTCGTTTCCAGCATTCTGCACAACGGAGGAGAGCATGCATAAGAGCACACAGCGGCAAAACAAAGGCAAATCATTAAGTAGAACGTAACATCTTCTCTATAGGCGCATCAAAAATATTTTAATTTCTTCAATACTCATATTATATGCATCATGTCGATCATATTTACGTGTCTTTGCGTTCAGTCGGTGCTGAGGCGTTCGGATTCTGGCAGTGCGTTGTTTCAGTGGTTTTTTTGGTTTTTTTGGGACACCCTGTACTGTATACTGTGAATTAATTAAAAGCTTTATGTTAGGAAGAGGAGGGGCACCATGCAATGGACTTTACGTCCAGTTTGTGCCTTGTCCGTTTGAGTACAGCTCTTTAATTGTATGTTAGATGAATATTGGTTGAATTAATTTGTACTCAATAAAGTTTAACAAACAAACAAACAAACAAAACAAATGCAACAAGGTGATTGAACATAATCATTAAAAACGATTTTGAATCTTACGCCCGTATTCTAAAAGCTCACTCACACTCAATGAGTGGAGGTTCAATCTGAGCTTTTCTTGAGTGTCAATGCTGTTTTTGAATAGCTGGAGGGTTAGGGACCGGTCATTATTTATGGCGGTGGGTGGCACCGAAGAGAAAAGGGTTGGGTAAACAAAATTTTAAGTAATTAAAAGGTTGGGTAAATGAAAAACAAAACAACTCAAGGGTTGGGTAATAAAAAATTATTGTCATTTCCAAAGTATGACTCACTGAAATATTGGAGACTAAAAAGCAATGTCAATGAAACTTTGGATTGCAGAAAATTTCACAAGCCGTTATCAAAATCATGTCACAAAAGTGGCAATTAAAAGGACATGTGTGACAACTGAATGGTATCCTTTTGTAAAGGTTTTGGCCAGGGGTGGGTATTCATTTTTTAATTGATATTTGAGGTTGGGTAATCAAATTTTTGACTTTTTAATGGTTGGGTCAGCAAAATTTTTCCCACAAAAAACATTTAAATCTCTTCGGTGCCACCCCCACCATAAATAATGACCGGTCCCTTAGTGTCTTACCTTACTATGTACGGATTATTGCTCACCCTCCAGCTATTCAAAAACAGCATTGACACTCAAGAAAAGCTCTGATTGAACCTCCACTCATTGAGTGTGAGTGAGTGAGCTTTTAGAATACACGCCTTAATCTCGTATGTAAAAATACGATTACCAAGAGGTTGAGTTTTGGAATTTTTGTTAGCACTCCATGCTGGGGTTGGCGGTTGATGTGAGTTAGGTTTATGATTTTAGTGCTTATAACAATATATGTTCATAAAACAGCCAAAATCCATCTTTATCTAATCAACCTGCACCAACCTGCAATTTAAACCCTCTAGACATTCGTATAGTGTTTGACGTGGCGACGTCTTATTTCAATAGGCATTTGCGTGAATTGACATAACAATAGTGAAGATACAGTAGGCGGAAAATTTCATCGTTTTCATGCATTCGTTTTGTTGTACATAAGCTCTACTCAAAGAATCGCTGAAATATATTTCTGGTTGAGTTTTAAATGTAGGGTTTTGATCTGTTGACTATACCATCCACAAGATATATATTTATTTATATGATTGCAACAATATATCGAACCTTCTAGTGAGACTTCCATTTATTTTTCCAGACAAGTATTTTGAGGAGGTGATCCCAAATTGAAAAGCTGGACCTGTTTCGCCCTCCACGTGGTAGTATACAAAAGTGCTTGTAACAGAGGTCTTCAGCCAGAGACAAACAGAAAGCTGGTCGATTCGATTCACAGGTCCAGGAGATACTACATAGGCTAATTCACTCGAGTCAAATTGCAGTTCATACTTCAAACCTTTGTCTATAAAAGGGCAAATTGTTGTAAAAATAAAAAAACAGTGAAATCTAAAGCTTCCGGTAATAAGTATAACGATCAGAAGATTATACACATGCATGCATGCGCAACTTCACTATATAATTTGTACGTTTATTGTCTTTATAAATTATAATAATATAATGTATGAATATATTAAAATTCAACATTTCAACTGTCCAGTTTTTCCACCATGTCTATTGCGAGTCTTTTCAACATGTGAAACGAGCACTTAATTCATGCAGTGTTTCAATCCACCAAACACCCCAGGTTTCTCTAGGTACTCCGGCTTTCTTCTGTAGTAAGACTGTGGTAAACGGGGGGGCGGATCACGTTTCACGTGAAAAAAAGGGCCATTTCACGAGTTTCGCATTTTTAACTGTGCAAATTATAGTATTAATTCCTTTCTTAACCCCTTTAGCCTATTTTACGCATTCAAAGCTAATTACATGCACTACTGACAGCTCAAGATTGAAAGACTTTTTAAAACCAACCGATATACAGTGTCTAATAAAAATCAGTAATATATGCGAATCCCGTAAAATTGATACATCTAAAGCATTGCTCTTCTTCATGTTCGCACTTTTCAATGGACCTTATATAGAAGTGCTTACGTCAAGGAATTTTTAAATGATGAATTATTGACCCAATACAGTAGTATCCCACAATGCACTGTGCTTTCCAGACGTCCTCTGTATTAGAAAACCACTTCTAAGATCTATACTCGTCCAGTATTTGTTCTACTGGCCTCAAATAAGTTCCGGGCATTTTCAATTATCGGCAATCACGGCTCACGGTTAGGCGCGTATAAATCATGTTTCACGACACAAAAACCACGGTTCATGAAAGTATCCTTTACCACCATTTACTCTAGTATAGCACTGAACTGATAAGGAATCATGGCACTTAGGGGCGTTCTGGATTTGCAAAGTCTGTACTTTTATTACTGTAATTTGGGTATGCCATGGTCTGCTAAAGTAGTACAATGTAAATACGCTTGACACTCTTGGAGGAAATAGCTAAGACTAAGCTAGACTTCCCCCATGACTAAAATAATCTCTATTTATTCATAACATGATATTTCACATTTATGTGATATGCTTTTACACGATTTTAGTAAGATGATCCGGTAGTTATCCTCAACTTACTGCTAAACTCATATAATGAAAATATGAAATAAAACACAATATAATCTGACGTCGTATGTAGAGGGAGAATAAGCCAAAATGGCTGTGCAAATTAAAAATTTAAGCATTCGTGACTTCGTGTGTTCAAGTAGTCGAGGACCGTATAGATTGGGCTTCAACATCACATAAATTAAAACAAACAGTTTCGGAGATCGAAATACTGTATGGTTAAAAGATGTTTACAGAAAAAAACCAAGAACGCTTACTTGTATTGTGAGCATTGGAAGGCTTAACTACTTGAATATTTCCAAAAATATTGTTAACAACATTGAACCATCTTAATAGATTTCCTTTTTCGTTTCCTCTAGATTGAGCCATAGCTTCAACTTCTTCTCCAGTCAATGCCTTATCCCAAATATTTACTCCACTGATTCTACCAAGAAATCCTGCACCTGCCTCAAAACCAGACGTTATGTGATGTTGTCCTATCACTAAAGTTCCACCTCCTGAAATCACTTTACCAGCCCTCACAGAATCTCGCATTGCTCGAGGTGTTCCATCAACTAGGACGTCCCAACGGCCATTCGTATTGCTCCAAATAAAGCCCAGGTGATGCCAAACGTTGTCATTAACAGGAATCATGTAACTGCTGTATATGTGAAATATAATTTGAGATAAAATTTACTGGGGAGTGCGAAATTGCAATATACAAGATGAGAAATATAAGAAGTTATGAGCAAGATGGAACGCTGGGAAGAGAAAATGGAGGAAATCTGGAGAAAAAGGTGACGCAGGAAGAACAAGCTCGTGAAGGTGGTGATTTACATACACCACAGAAATTAAAAGCTGGTTCCAGACTATTTTGCATCAGTTATACCATAGTTTGTCACGAAAGCGCTAGCCGTGTGCATGAAACGGAAATCAGGCTTTAGTGCAGGGAAAGCAGGGATTATTCTAAGGAAATTTTATCACTGCACAAAAGTGCGAAAAATGATCAAATTTATATATAAATTTAGCAACACTTTAGAAAACGTTCTGACTGCCCTGCATAAGTACATGTATACAGTACTCTGGTTCTGCAACTTAATTCTTAAAGTTTGCCGCATGCATGTCACTAATTATATGCAGGTAAATTAGCTAAATTCACGGCTAATGAGCCCAAATCTGCATGCTGCATATTCTATTGCATGCAAAAATATACACATTTTCACATATTTTTTGAATCGCATGCAAAACGCCAAACGATATTGCTCAAGAACTAGTTTTTACACTCGTGATATATATATATATAGATTACTCTACACCATTTAAACATCAAAAATCACAAAACAAAATCGCTCGTCAGCAGTTTAACCATACGAAGGTGACATAAAAATGATTAGTCTATGATTAGTCTAAGAAACATTAGTCTATGAATGCTTAATTGATCAAGAGGTCGGCAAACAGTATAGATGAGCTCTCAGATTGCAATGATTTCGAGTTAAATATTTTCACCCTGTATATCCCAGTAAAAACTGAAAGATATGCGGACTATATGCCAGCGATACATAGTATCATAACAGGCAGCATTACCCAATCCAAGTATCCTACTGCGTACAAGCATGCAATTGTAACTCCGGTACCAAAGATACATCAACCCAAAGATATAAACAACGATTTCAGGCAAATTTCTGTGCTTCCTCATCTAGCTAAAATGATAGAGAAAATCCAGTTGGAACTCAACTCTCATGATTTGGCAATAAAGGACAACCAACATGCTTTCGTTAAAAATCGATCTACTGTTTCAGCCCTGATCTCGATGACCCAGAAGTGGTTTGATGTAACAGATAACTCCAATATTGGAAGAAAAGGGGTCCATACTACGTTTTTGGACTTCAAAAAAGCTTTCGACCTTGTCGACCATAGAATTCTATTAATAAAATTAGCGGAAATGAATGTATCAAAGGCCTTCTGGTCGTGGGTGAAGTGTTTCCTTACAGAGCGGACTCAACATGTGAATTTACATGGTGTTATATCCTCAAGCGCCCCCTGTCCAGCTGGAGCCCCGCAAGGCTCCGTTATTTCCCCAACACTGTTCAATATTCATATTAATGATTTGGAAAACACGTTAACAAACAACTTTACAAACACGCACAAGTATGCAGACGACTGCACTCTTGATGAGGTCGTTGCAAACGGAGCCCTTTCAAATATGCAGGAATCGACTAATCAAGTGATGAATTGGGCCAATGATAATAAAATGGTGGTGAATCCCAAAAAAACTAAGGACATGTGGATCAGTTTTTCTCAATCCTCTCCTGGACCCCCACCTATACAAACGGATAGAATTGAAATAGAAAGAGTAAACTCCTTCAAACTTCTCGGTGTATGGGTGCAAAATGATTTAAAGTGGAATACCCATGTTTGTAAAATAACAAAAAGAGCAAATAAGCTATTATTCCTTCTCAGAGAGAGTAGGAAATCCTTCCTACCACCCGAGATTGGTTTATTAACATATACGTCGAAGATCCGGCCAATACTTGAATACGCCTCTCCAGTCTGGGGTGGAATCCCTAAATATCTTGAAGTAGAAATTGAACGTGTTCAACAAAGAAGCTTGAGAATCCTAGGATTGGAGAAAGATACCCTCCCTACACTAAAAGAAAGAAGGGACAAGGCAACATGCAACGAGCTGAAAAGGATTGTGGAAGTCCCAAACAACCCATGTAATCGTTTCCTATCTGGTAATAAGAATCACACTTACGAACTGAGAAGGACCAGAGACAGCACTCCAAGACAGCTTTCAAAAACACACAGGCATAGTACGTCTTTTATCCCAAGGGCGTGTAGATTAACCAACTCATGAAATTAGATCATTGTACATATGTATATAAAACCTTTTAAACTTTCTAAGTCTTACACTCTCATAGGTTATATATGTATTTTAGTATAATATTTTTAACTTGTAAATCCATTGTATTTCTATATGCCAAAGATGGATATCTAATAATAAAATTGAAATTGAAATAAAAAGCATACAAGCATGCAATGGTCATTTTGTCGCCAATTTCTGGTACTGAACCATATCGCATTTTATCACTGCACATAATGTAATTTATCACTGCACAAATCTCATTTATTACTGCACACATTGGTTATCACTGCGCCTTAGAAAAATCCCTGAGGGAAAGAGTTTGAAATGTTCAAGAACTAGCCTTGGAGCCTAGAAAAACTACAACTAGTGTGTGAGAATATTTGATACGAAGAGCATCTTGAACAAAAGCAAATAATTGATACTTCTACTTTCTCACTTACTCTTCATTGTCCTGTATAATTTTTCCCTTAAAGTTAGTGACAGACTGACTGTTTGCATAAAACTGCACATTTATAACACCAATTTCATCACTTGTTCTGTACGAGAGTAGGTTGTACTTCTTTAACCCGATCGTAAACTTGAACCAAGCGGTGAACGTGAATTGAGTGAGGTCGGACTTGATGCTGTCCATCTCAATATAGGACAAAACAGGGTCTTGTGATGAAAACACGACGTCAAAATTACCCGTAAAGGAAAATGAAATTGTGTTATTGATTGTGTTGTTGTTGATGATGATGATCGTGATTAAAATAGTGATGGTAACGATAATAATGGTAAACATTTTTTTGAATTGCGTCTTTGAAATAACATTTATCAGGAATTTTGTACAAAGAATGTTTCAGTAATAACTAATATTGGTGACAGTGCTGGTGAAAGTATTGTTAATGATGATGACGATGATCAATGAGTAATCATCTGTTTGTTATTTTGTAGCCGACACCCGTCCATTTATAATTATGCTTTCTATCCATAAGCCCGGATTTTCATCAGCGCAAATAATCAATATATTATTTATATATCGAATATTAAGAAATATATTATCGTAAACCTGCAAAGGACTAATTAACATGATGCGACTCACTGTTTTCATTCTCGCAGTGTTTCCCATAGTACCATTCACTACATATACAACTATATCCCTCAGGTTCACATGAGTTCCTCACACAGCTACCGGCGTTCTTGCATGGTTGTTGTGTTGAGCATATTTCCTTGTAAATATAATTCAAATATTCTTTCATTTACGAATTATTAGGAGTGATTTATTATTATTCATGCGAGGTGAGGTCAGACGATTCCGAGATAAATTCTAGGAGTCAAAGGACCACCTTTCCCCATCAGTAGATTTACCTCAGGGGCCGGTTATATGAAAGCCGGATAGCGCTATCCATCGCCCGGATAGTGATTTTTTCAACCTTTCTAAACCGTTCGTTGATTGGTATAATCCGGACTAAGCTTTAGCATTTATAAATTAATAATGTTTATCGTTATTAATTATTTAATTGTGCATGAGGTCTACTGTATAACATTGTCCGTAGTTTTATAACGTTTCAAAATCCACCTGATGGATGGCGCTATCCGGCCGTCATGCAACCGGGCCCAGGTTTAGTACTATACAATTGCAGTTACTAACCAGTTCAGCCTCCCGTACTTCATATGTAGTCCACGTATCGACTTCGTGTGGGTTCTTTCTCACAAATTCATCCGACTCACTCGCGATAATGCAGTTAATGTTATCACTTGATGTTGTACGATGACTGAATGTAACACAATCTTTGCTGTCAAGACATTTCTCACTACATTCAAACCAAGAGTTGACATGATGACTTGAAATCACGTATTCCTCCAACGGTTGGCCTAAGTATAGAAAGTGAGTTTAGCCACGGGCAGTCAGGCATATAAGCAAGGGATGGGAAAGTACTAGCGGCGTCCGTGCTCAAAAGCGGATCTCGTGAAAGTTGCCAAAAGAGCAATTGCATGCATACGTCCTGCAGGGCAGAGTTCAATATAATTCTGAAAACTTTGTCTGACATTATGTCAGACCAACCCATGTTTTGGTCAGAGATGATCGGACACTTAATTATTCTCAAAATGGACGTTGTCAGTTGTCACAGTACTAGAAACCCAAACCGTAACAACTACCAAAAGTCCAAAACCATATGCATAATGGTTAACAAAATTACACAATATCAACGACAACTTACTCAGTAACAGTATATATTAATAGACGTGGTTGTTTTAATAATTGACGAGATGACATTGTTATTGTGTGGATCGGCACAAGTCAGATTCTATGATTGTCTACTGAGCAGACGGAATCTTTGTTTGCATGTGTTAAACATTACAGATTTTGTTAAAACGATTTGCAACAATAAAGGAAGAAATAGTCAAATTAATGGGACAAAACGGTCGGCCATAATGTCGGTGGAGAGCAATCAGTAGACGGCCATATCAGCATTTTGCTCGACTAATGGCCGGTGGCCGACCGTTATATTCAGTCCCTGGTCCTGGGCAAACGATATTTCTCAGCCTCAGTTCCCGTCGACTTCCTGACGGTATGTTCAGATCGTTGTAAATCTTCTCAACGAAAGATCCGTTGGAATTTTACCATTAAGCGATTCCAAAACGTAAAATTGGCAAACTGGTTAAGGTGGCTTGATACTGTTTTCATTTGACGTTTTTAAAATTTGTATTTTTAGGTTTTATGCAGCAGGTATCGGGATGTTCAAATGTTTCAACGTTTCTTCTTTCAAATTATGCTACAATCACTTTCAAAAGTTGTTTGGACCGACATGCAGTTTAAGTCAACCTATACAGTTTGTTACACACAATACCGTACCCCTCCCCATGCAATCAATGTTGTTTTCTCAATTCAAATACCAAAACCCATCAAATATGACGGGTTTTGTGGCATCTGTCCCAAGATATTTGAAACTAATTGTAGTTTTGGTAACACATAGTTTGTTGCTGTGGTAACACATGCGTACTAAATCCACTCTAAGATAGCCTATCAATCTCTAGCGTTCCGAAAAATGTTGACCAATTCATTTCCTAACTTGAAGGAACACCTCTGAACAATTCCTCAACAATTTGATAAGTTCCTTAATTAAAAAGTTAGTTTCAGAGGTGTTCCTTCAAGTTAGGAAATGAATTAGTCAAAATGTTTCGGAACGCTTCTATTGGCACGACTGTAAGCTACAGTATGTATAGAAAATAGACCAACAATAGGCCAAATATGTTTCTGTAATGCCGCCATTTTCTTTAAAAACGCAAAAATGTCATTTTCTTCGATAACATTTTTGGTATTACAGAATTGTTTTATTTTTGGTATAATGAAAGACTCTTGAGTCTTGTAATACAACACATGCACCGGGTGCTCGGAAATAATGATACCGGAAAAGGCACCAGCCTGATAATGGCACCGGAAAACTGGCACCATGAAATTGACGAGTATACGAAAAAATGGCATCGGACAATGGTCGGAATTCAATGAGTCATCACTTATTGTTATTTTATTGGCATTCGGATGGGTATTATTGAAGAGCATTCACGGAAAGCACGTTGACAATGGTCGGCACTGATTTCAATGAGTCATCACTTACTGTTTATAGGGCATATGACTCGAAAATTGACGGTGTTATTTTTTAGTCTAATTTGAAAGATCATTGAAAACTGTAGAGTAAATTCTTTGACAGATTTTTGTTTTCTTGCTTCGTTTTGGAGATATTTCATTTTGTATGAACATGCATAAAGACTTACTTTAAAATGTTATGTAATTTTGTCAGTATCAAATATATTCGCTCAAAATGAATGATGAACACGGGATTTGTCCACAACAACGCCCATGTAGGTTTTGTACTGATTTTGTTTAGTCGTATTAAAGATATACAGCTTTTAGGGCTCAATCATTATGCATATGTGACGTAGGAAGTTGGTCCTTCGCATATCATACAAAATGAAATATCTCCAAAAAGAAGAAAGAAAACAAAAATCTGTCAAAGAAGTTACTCTACAGTTTTCAATAATGATCTTTCAAATTAGACTAAAAAACAACATCGTCAATTTTCGAGTCATATGCCTTTTAATAAGTCATTTCATTGTTTCAAAAATACTGAGACATGCAGTGATGTGAGACGTTTTCAGAAAAAAAATAATTGTGGGATAGACGTATATAAATATCGTGCAACTTTAGGTTGCTATTTGTCGGTATTCGTAACACATACAGGAATTAGAGACGAAATGAAAGTAATTGCAAGAAATAAGGGAGGAATGAAACTTTGCTTTGGTGCTTATATGTACACCAAACAGGTTTCCAAGCCAAATCACATTCGCTGGAGATGTGTTACTAAGAGAAGTTCTCCATTAATGAGAGAAAGAGATTATCATAAAAAAAAGGCTATAAAATTTAACTCTACAATACACTGGGAAAAGTATCAGTTTATGCGGAATAAAATAAATATACGAATGCGTAAAACAAAAGCCGATTTCTATCATAGAGAGATTGGAGAGTGTGCTAAATTAAATGATTTGAAAAAAACCTGGTCACTAATAAACTCTCTTACTGGAAAGAATAATAAGGCCAACAATATTACAGAAATCTCTGTTAATAATTGTAACACCTCCAATTCGAAACTTATTGCCGAAGCCTTTAATGAATATTTCGTTAACGTAGGCCCAAATTTGGCATCTGAAGTAAATCATGAACTTTCTGAAGAGGAAATGAATAACGGTTACATTCCTAACACTCAAATAAACACAGAATTCCAGTTCCATCAAATTAATGTGGAAAATGTAGCGTTGGCTTTAATGAGTTTAAAGACTAACAAATCTACTGGTTTAGATAAAATTCCACCCAAAGTCCTTAAACTAACTGCAGATATCATAGCTCCGTCACTGTCCTATATATTTAATTTATCACTCGAAACAGGGATTTATGTTGACGACTGGAAACGGGCTCGAGTGAATCCAATTTATAAATCAGACGACAGACTAAAATGTGAAAATTATAGGCCGATTTCTATACTGCCAATCGTAAGTAAAGTTTTTGAAAGAGAGGTTTTTAGACAAATTTATAGCTTTGTTTCTGATAATTTCTTACTCTCCAAGTTTCAATCGGGATTTCGACCTAAACACTCCACACTGTCCTCTTTGATACAAATGTGTGACGATCTACTTGAGAATATGGATAATGGCAAAATAAATTGTGTCGTGTTCCTTGATGTACGTAAGGCCTTTGATTGTATAAACCATGAAATATTATTAAAAAAGATGCTTAACTACTTTGGTATATCAGGAATTCCACTAAATTGGTTCAAGTCTTATCTATCTGATAGAGAGCAGCAATGTCTGGTAAACGGTCATTTATCGAGCCCGAGAAAAATAAAATGTGGTGTACCGCAGGGATCTATTTTGGGCCCTTTATTATTCCTATTATACATAAACGATATGCCTGACTCCTTAAAATATTCAACTCCATCCCTCTACGCAGATGACACAGAAATTTATCTATCCTCTAAAGATTGTGATGACATTGTTATTAAAATAAACCTTGATCTTGAAAATATTCGAAAATGGATGCAACAAAATAAGCTCCAAATTCATCCGACAAAATCGAAATATATGTTTATTGGATCAGCGTATAATATTAAACATAAGGTATCTGGCAACCCAATTCTTGTTAATAACGTCCCAATACCCAGGACTGAAAATTATACTTGCCTTGGTGTCAACATTGACGAAAAATTGACCTGGGAAAAACATATTGATACGATATGTTCAAAAGTCAGTGCGGGAATCGGTGCTATAAGACGTATTAGGCCCTTCGTATCGTCTGCGACACTAAAATTGATGTACAATGCTATTGTGCAGCCCTACTTTGATTACTGCAGCCCTCTCTGGGACAACTGTGGAATAGGCCTCAAGGACCGGTTGCAGAAATTTCAAAATCGGGCTGCAAGAGTAATTTCTAGTGCGACTTACGATGTTCGGTCGGTTGATTTACTTGAAAGCCTGGGTTGGAAACACCTAGAACTAAGGCGAACTTATCTAAAATCTGTTTTCATGTATAAAATTCTGAATAACCACACCGCACCAAATCTAAGAACATCCTTTCGATTGAATAATGAATGTGATAATACCTATGATCTTAGAAATAGAGAAACCGATTTGTCTCTTCCTAAACCGAATACCGATTCTGGTAAAAGATGCTTCAAATATAACGGAGCGGTAGTATGGAATAATTTACCGTATGAGGTAAAAGTAGCGGGATCTTTAAGTTCTTTTCAAAGAACTATTAATCAGGCAAACACTTAAAATTGGCTCGTCCTGTTGCCTACTGTATATGTAATTCTTCTTTCTTTGCTTTTGTATTTTTAATGTTTACCTGTACTGTATATTTGTCCAAATCACGCCCCTCATGGAAATCAGCCCCGAGTTGTTGAGGCCAGCGTGCCTAAATAAATTCTTGTATGTATGTATTGCAAGGGTTCGTTGACAACACTCTTGACATGAATTGACATGGAACACGCAATGGCACGCTATGGCACGCAATGTCGCATATTGAGAATTCCCGCCCAACACAGAACCGGCACACGCAACGGCAGGTCATATTGGGAATTGCACGCAACACACGCAATGACAAGTCGTATATGTTGGGAATTCCCGTAGGCACGAATGATCATACGGGTTTGTTCATATGGCTTGAAAAACTCATGAGGAAATTACTAATCATAAGCAAAAGACAAAGGAAATAACTACCGTGTCGGTGGTTTCATATGATATGTGATAAAAGTAATTTAAAATACTCGCAGTCCTCTATCAGATACAAGAAACTTGGCTGTCGCCTCATGTTTTATATCTGATAAAGTACTCCTGCAGTCCTGCTCGTGTTTTAAACTGCACATAAAGTCTTGTATATGCTTGTATATAAATTCCCGTTTTCTTGTATATAAAGGCCCGTTTACATGGGCGATTTTTACTGCAATTTAAGTTGCGATTTTCTCCTTTTGGAGGATGTGAAGAAATGGATGAGTTATAAATGTTCCAAGTTATGAAATCTCATAACAACATCATCAAGTAATCTACTCCTTCATATCCTCCAAAAGGAGAAAATCGCAACTAAAAATCGCAGCAAAATCTCCCGTGTAAACGGGCCTTAAGGATATTGTGAGGATTACTATATCGAGCCAACTTAATTATTGAAGGGTTTTGGAGATGGAAATTTCGAATATTATACATTTATTAGACTAACCAGGAGCAGTTGCGAAAAATGCAACTATGGCAGCACTCCAACGAACTGCAGCTACAGAATCCAGTTGTGGAGCTCTAACCGCAAGATCATGCTTAAAATCCTGATATTTACCCATACACCTTACACATGAATAGATCTGACATGAACTTGCGGTTAGAGCTGGACTCTGTAGCTCACAGTTCGTTAGAGCGGAATCGCAGGGCCGCAGGTTAGATTGCTACCAGAGGGCCTATACTACTGCAGGCATTTATCGCCACTGCTCCTGGTAAGGTCTGCATAAATATATAAAATTTACACTCGAAATTTTCATCTACAAAATCCTTCAACAATTGGCCGTTCTATCGAGTGCATGGAGAGGCCTAAAATCCTGATATATTATTATACCTACTTTATGTTTGTTACATAAATGGTTGGCCATGCATGCATGGGGGATACAAATCAAAGGGGTTCCTCAGTTCGAGTTTTGCTATGCCTATGGGAATACCGTAAATCGTTTAATTTGATGGATCGCTCGTTACTTATTTATAAGCTAAAGCAGCTGGATATCCCATCCAGTATAATCAGCTGGACTATTATAATATAAGTTTCGTACCTGCAATAGATAACAGGTAAGACGGTCTTTGGCAGCCAATGAGATTGTGTATATTCGTCATATGAAAACGTTTGCTTTTGTAGCCGGTTCCAGGCAACCATGCATCATATTGAACAAAATGCCGAAAACGTTTTGTATTTTTTCGTTTTAAGAAACGTATTTTTTCGCAAAAGAAGTTGTATAAGAATGTAGAAAAACTATCATAGACATAGATTCATATTTAAATATTTAAACACTAAATTAATATGTAGATTTGAGTCTTGGTTATTATTAGCAATGCCGTACTTATATAGAGGATTACGCCGTTTTTCGATCAAATTTATAGTGGTGGTATATATACTCCAAGCTTTGAGGTGTTACGCATTCTAATTTGCGTGCGAAGATTTATGAGTATGACTGACAAGGACAAGGTAAACATTGCATGACATCACAGAGTAGAGACGTACAGAGACGTAACTGACCGTCGTAAACATTGCGGAAGCTTACGTTTTCATGTACCGACGTTTTTTCTGGCGACCGGGCAAAAAATGATCAGTAATTGCATGCATGTCTTGGGGGTTCATTCATAATTAAAGTGATTTTTTTCTTCAGCTTGAAAACATGTACTTTTCAATTCTGACAAGTGCACATCAATTTTAAGCTTGAACGGTCTGTGCCAATGTAAGTAGTGCCAATTATAATAAGAAAACTTTGGATTGATATAGGGATGCCTGAAAAATTCAAGAACTTCGACGTTTCGAGCGAAGGCCCTTCATCGGCGAGAAATGGACCTTTCCCCTTATAACTAAAATTTCGATCTAGACAAAAATTTCACAGCTTGAAAGAGCATCACAAAATTAGTAATATTCCAAAGTTTCGTTGCGAAATGTTGTAAAATGCGGATAATATAGCCTTGCGAAGTTTGCCGTTTTTCAGTCATTTTGTATTACGCACGGGAAATTGACATCCGATTCGGGTGTTGGGGCTGCAATTTCCCGTTTGTAATGCAAAATGACTGAAAATTGCAAACTTCGCAAGGCTCTATTTTCCTCATTTTACAACATTTCGCAACGAAACTTTGGAATATTACTAATTTTGTGATGCTCTTTCAAGCTGTGATGAAATATTTGTTTAGACTTGCGTAGATCAAAATTTTGGTTATAAGGGGAAAGGTCTATAGTAAAACATTTTTTAAGCTATCCATGATCACCCTATAATCGCGACAAAACAAATTCAAAACGAACATGAAAACTTGTCTTCACTATAGTATTTACCTTTACATACTGTTTCGAATATGACTTCACGACATGCCAGATCGCTGGATTTCACGCAGTAGAGAGAATTTAATATCAATACAGGAATCCAATATGATCTGGTGGTCAAGTAATACATCATATACTATACAGCTGTTCAGTAGTTTACCAAGCTTGTCATCCTTTATTTTAATCTTAGTTACGGGCTTTATGCGCGATGCCGTTCTTTACTCGGGCAAACAAACTTTCAATTTCATTAACAAAAAAACTGAGGATGAATATATGACATGTCACAAAAGTACGTTTTCTTATTAATTATTTAGATAGTTATAATGTGACTACAAATTGGCAGAATAATAAATAACATATAGACAGGTCCATATAATGAATGTTTGTGTTTTAAAAATCCGGAATAAGGAATAATGGAGTCATTGTGGAAAGGAATATATGCAGGATACTAAAAATTATAAAATGAATGAATAGTTGGGAAGATACGACGAATAATGAATAATTTAGTCAATATTATTCAGCTCCCAACCCCAAATTTCAGCTGTCCACTAATTCGTCTGTTTGTTTTTAACTTTTCCCACTTTCGTGGCAACGAATTTGGACAACAAAAATGCTGCAAATTGCTTCATAATTAGTTTTCGTGGCTTAGATGACATGGTGGGGGCTAAAGTACCAGCAAATTAGCATAGACGACACGCAGGACTTCCTGACGACGCAGTCCGCTTCAAACTATAGAACGCGGGACGTCAGCATATTTGCTGACAAATCACTGTGCGCGTTATCGTTCCAATGAAAAGACACGGAGTTCACTCGTCAAACATAATGCATAAATTCGCATAAACTAATTACGCATTCAATTTTTTCTGAAATATTGAATCATTTATCGATTTGCAGTAAAAAGACATATAGCTAATAGGCGCTGTCGCCGCTGCAAACTTTTTTTCCGTAGACAGTCAGACTCCTCATTGATAGTCGGACGCATCATTGATCTGCGTCCAGGCCTCCGCGCGTTATCGATCGATCCCTTCGTATCCTGTGTAACCCACTGGTACACTATATATAACCATCACTCCACGTTGTTCTTCTTCGACCACGTGTATATAGAAACTAAGTGAACGATTTGCTTCGCGATGCCATAGCAAATCTACAAATATTGTTTTTCTGGTTCCGAAAATACTCAAAAACTGTTATTGCGAGTTAAAACTATATATCATCCCAAGGAAGAATTGCAGAATACCCGTCCGCTAGTAATATCATATCATCTAGCCGGCCACTATTTCACTGGATATATGCTGGATACGTACGCACTGATATACTCTTATTGCCTCGTTCTAATATACATGCAAACTAATTACTAAGACAATATTACGAATTGATACTATAAAGGAAATATCATGCAAGACTCAGTCAATGTTTGATACTACGCTTAGTATATATGCTTTATAATATAAAATTAAAAAAAAAAAAATTTACGTCGCCGCTGTGCAGGACCCTTTCCGCATCGAGATTCATAACATTATTATTAAAATTTGCATCATTATGTTTACTATGCTGTTCAAATTAAAAAAAAGATACACCTAAGCGAATATATTTTCTAATTATAGCGAATCAACCTTGTGGAAACTAATTGTACTTTGATGCAAAAAGCATATTCAAATGATACTATGACTCTATGAGTACTGAATACTTTGATATGCATATTGTAATTCTTTCAGTCATCCCGACGCAATGATATGCGTCATTTAAGGCAATGCGTCATGTTCATGCTCAGTGGAAACTCGGAATTGGATTGTTAGCTCACTAAGCTAGAAACCCAGGTCTCCTGACATCGTTTGAGACTTCGCGCAGGCGATCGTGACTAAAACACCACACGAGTACATACGAGTGACATACGAGTAACACACAAGTACATACGAGTACATACGAGTAACATACGAGTACATACGAGTAACACACGAGTAACATACGAGTACATACAACTAACACACGAGTACATACGAGTAACACATGAGTACATACGAGTAAAATAAGAGTAGGCCTACATACGAGTAAAATACGAGGTGTAAACTTGTTTTTAGTGTTTGTAGATTGAATACAGGCAAAAAGATCGTATTCTCGGTCGAAAAACGTTAAATAGAGTGGAACCCAACACAATAATGTTTCAATGAATGACTGTAGCTAATTCATTGTTTTGTGTCTGCTAAAATCTCATTCCTATATACCGATTTCCGCCACTGAATTTTACTCACGACACTTTTTCGCAATAGAAGCGACGCAAAAATACGTTTAAGTTTCGGGCCCGCAGTAATTGGCTCACGCTGTTGCGGTCACCCTGCCTATAGTCATGTATATTATTCTTGTTCTTGTTATAGTTTTGTGTATTGTAGCCTAATATGGCGAAACTAATAAATAAATAAATTAATTAATTAAGAAACGCTTAAAATCAACTTTGATTTATAAACATATAAATGCTTTATTTTACTTTACATTACTAGAAGTATTAAAGTATAAAAACTGTCAGTATTAATAATACTCGAATGTTTGGTCATTCTCACGCCAGGCAATGTTTGGCAGTCTCTATCGCCATATCGCTGATGAGGCTAGAGTGACTAAATAAATGATTATGTATGTATGTATGTATGTATGTATGTATGTATGTATGTATGTATGTATGTATGTATGTATGTATGTATGTATGTATGTATGTATGTATGTATGTATGTATGTATGTATGTATGTATGTATGTATGTATGTATGTATGTATGTATGTATGTATGTATGTATGTATGTATGTATGTGTGTATGTGTGTATGTGTGTATGTGTGTATGTGTGTATGTGTGTATGTGTGTATGTGTGTATGTGTGTATGTGTGTATGTGTGTATGTGTGTATGTGTGTATGTGTGTATGTGTGTGTGTGTGTATGTGTGTATGTGTGTATGTGTGTATGTGTGTATGTGTGTATGTGTGTATGTGTGTATGTGTGTATGTGTGTATGTGTGTATGTGTGTATGTATGTGTGTATGTATGTATGTATGTGTGTATGTATGTATGTGTGTATGT